AGGCAGTTTAAAGACTGGAGGAGTACTTTGGGCTGCCAGAGAAAGTAAGCCTTGGCTCACAAAGGGCCTTAGTTAAAGAGATGCCTAAGCAGAACAACAAAGGTAGGAAAAGTAATGAGGAAACAAAGTTTCTGAAGCTTGAAGAGAAAGGAAGTCAAGTCAGGACCACAAAATAGAATTAGGTGCTAATAAGTGGGCAGTCCCATTTTCCCACGGCTCTACAGAAAGCTTGCTTTTATGAGAGCTCTGACTAACCAAGTCCTAGACAGAGGAAGAGGGACATTCACCACCACAACATTACCAATGCACCAGGACTCAGTCACATTCAACATAAAAGGAAAGTCTACTCAACAAGAGTCCTAGCTACAGGCATAAGGTTTAAAATTCATGACCTTCTACTGCCCTTGTTATTTATACAAGACTGCTTCACATCCCCAATTCTATGGCCTATGGGAAATATGTTTTCCTAAGATGTGAACAAATTCTCAGGCATTCACTCTCATGATCCCTTCAGAGTCTGGCCTCCTGTGCTCTGTTACTTTTCCTGCTCTGCCTGAAGTAATTCAAGACCCACAACTCTGCCTCTTTACCTTCTTCCCCAAAGAACTCAAACCAACGAACAGTTTTACTGACACTGAATATCTGCAGTCATGATTTGGGAACACTGCACTCCCTTCTGTGGGTCCCAGGCCTGGCTGGTCCCAGGTCTGGCTGTGATCCAGGCTCACGGCAAGGAATAGGACCCTGGATTTAGAATGTTACATTAGTGTAGTAGGGTGCCTGCGCGTAAAATATGTACCATGCATGTGTGGCTGAATGCCACTATTGTACTCTGATATGTGTGGAGCCCATGTGGTCCCCTGAGGAGCAGAAGGGGAGCACAAGAAAGGGAGCAGCAGAAAATTAGAGCAGATGCGCGCTCCCCACAATAAAGTTGGTGTCTGCTGTTTCATCCTCATGTTGGGCCCTTGTGCGTTCTTCCAACTGGGCATCTCACCACCAAAACCTTCCCTTCTCCATCAGCTCGGTGCTGACACCCTCTTACCTGTTACACCTTTTCTCCTCAGCTCCTCTTCTCCTAAGCTCTGGTTTTTCTACTTTAATGATACTAGTAGCTTCTCACTCCTCTGAACTCGAGAACTGGTCAACAACCAAGCCTGGGGACAGAGACTCTGTTTCTACCCTAAGCACTTATCAAAGTATTTTCCCAATTAAAATAATTCTTTTTCAGGAAATTCTGATACTAGCTGTCAAAGCTTTAACATTTTTTTCCGCTTGTTCATGTAACTCTGCAGGATTGCTATGTTGGGTAATTGAGACAAAGAGTATAAAGAGCTAGCACAATGACCTGAACCCCTAGAAACTAAATAACTAGCAGCTACCTTCATAATGGTGATGATGCTGGACTCAGTCCCTGAAGAGACCATGCCTACATCAACCAGGGAGACCAGTCGAAGTAACTGACGACCTATAATAAAAAGCTAAGAAGGTCATAATCCTTCTTTAAAAACACAGTATCATCAAAGACCACAGAGTTCACTGACTGGTCACAGTAGTGTTTCCGACCTCATCCAAACACAGAGTCACAATTTGCAGCCAAACAGACAACAGCACAGGTACAATTCTGTGAAAACCTTCAATCATTTCTGAAGTACTATTTTCATCCTTTTGGAAAGCTGTCTTTTAAAGTCTAAATTTCTTTCCTCTATTTAGATATAGCTCTGTTTTGTGTTAAAGCTCAAAAGCTTTCCTTCTAAATGGCAATTGTTAACAGGGCAAAAAAAAAAAACCACTGCTTTTCTGATGTCAAAACACAAAACATACATACATACCCCACCTGAAAGAATGCACATCACTATGATGAAAGAGCTGGTGTCCCTCAGGAAAGTCTCATACACATGGCTTCAGTGTTCTTGCTGACAGGATTTGGCCTGATTATAGGCTCTCTCTGAGGCTTAGGTGGTTAAGACTGCCTTTGGTAAACAGCATAGCAGTTCCAGGCATTTTTCCGGGATTCGCAGACTTTAAATAGTAAAGTACTCTAGACTTATGCTAGGTACTGTAGATGATTAAACTAAAAAGGTATAGCGTCCTAGGCAATGAGGAGTCATTTCTCTCCTTAAAATGCCAAGAAGTTGGAAGAGAAAGTTCTGTGCACACATTAACACAAACAGTCATAGAGAACACAGCTCAGACAGGCCTGACCCTGGGCAGCAATAATAAATACTGCAGTATACACAAATCTGCAGGATTACAAGTGCCAATTGTCATTCTTTAAAGGGTAAATGAGCAGGAATCTGAACACAACGAAGTATATGAATGTCAGTCCAAGACCCTCTATCCACCTCTGGAAGCTGTTTTAGTACTAGCCCAAGCCTAAATGGAATTCTGTTATAGTTGATAAGAAAAATGTGATGACGTAGTTATTTTCAGAAAGATCAAATCTAGGGGCAGCAGCAAGGTCTTTCTGGGATGACTGTAAAGGGGCTCAAACCCATGAGACTAGAACAAGAATTATGTGTCTCAGAAAACAAAGATATGACATAAAAATGTTTTACTCCAAGCTCAACTTCAATGAGCGGAACTAAAAGCTCCAAGGTTCTGGCCCAGTTTTCTTAACAGGGAGACCTACAAATTATGTCTCCTTTGGGCAGACCTGTGCTGAGTCTATCATGTGCTCATAATGTTGTCTCAGTGAGCTCACAAATAAGAGACAACAGAAAGATCCACCAAAAAAAACTGCTATAGATAGCATTATAACAGAAGGCTATACTTCTTAATCTAGACTTTAAATCCATTAATCTAATTACATATCTTCCCTTAAATGCAGAGTCAATGGCATATCACTCACCTTCCTCAAAGGTGGCATTCTTCTGCCTCACTAGAACACGGAAGTTTTCAGCAAACTTCCAACCTAGAATGCACCCACAGACAATAAATCTGCAGATCACTTCTCTTTTTGGCTACACCCCAGGCAAGACAAGATGGCTCAGTGTAGTAAGTATGCTCTTAAAAAATAAAACCAAAGACAAAATGAAGACCCTTTGTATTCACTTTCATTTTCAGGGTCCTGTTAAAAGCTAGCAGATTCTTGTGGCCAAAGCTGCTGTCTGTACTTTCACTTACCTAGCTGACTTCTTTCCAGAGGGGTCAGAAATATTACCATCAAGCTGCCAGCCAGCCCAGCTTGAAGGCTTTATGTGGCAGACGGCTTATGCATCCTGATACCCAACCAATTAGGAAGGGAAGGATTCTGCACTGTGAGGTCAGCTCAGAATATATTTGTTCCACTAAGATGACATGAGAAATAACAGTCTGATGCTTGGTTCATTAAACTGCCCTTTTTAGGGGGACTGCTGCTGACCCTCTGGCATTAAAGCTTTGGTAGAATATGCACACATGTCCAAACTGAACATGTTCCCGTCCCCAAAGTAAAAGCAGATCATGTATCAAGATTTACTGCCATGCTAGGAGGGAAAGTTGCAAAGATGAAAATCTTTGACACACTATATGGCACTTTTTGATCATATTTATGTCTTTAATCTTCCAATCCCAACCTTCATAGTCCTAAGTATCATTCAGCTCACAGGGGAGAGACAATGGGGTTCTGTTATGGCTGGTAAACTTTGGCACAAAATGTACGAAAGTTTCCAGTTTGCTCTGGTATAGCAGTCAGAAAAGCTCTCAGAGCAAATAAGGTCATAATTTTTTTCCTTCACCATAAAACACTGAAATAAAACCTAAATCATTTTTTCGCAGTTTTTCTGAGAGCATTTCTTTTTGAGGCAGGAAAAAGGCATGCCCTAGTGCTCTTTTTCCTAGTGTATTTGGCTGGTAAGGGACAATTTTTAAGATCCACTGAATTCAAAATAATGCCACTTACAATAAGGCAATATGTTCAAGTTCCAAAAACCTTCCAACAAACTAAAGATCTCGAGTGTCAAAGACTGCTTGGTTTCGGGAAATCCTGACTTATGAAACCTGTTCTGAAGCTGTATATTAGAAAAAAAAATAGAAGGGTTGTACTCTTAAATTTTATGTACTTGGGACCTTACGACTCATATCATCAACTCCAATTATCTTGTCATTTTGACTAAACAGAAAGCTATGGTTGACATGAAGTCAACCAGAAAAACCTCTACAAAAAGGGCTACCAGTGAGACGCCCCATGTTCCATTTATTATAAAGTACTCTATGTACTATGTACCATAAAGATAATTCTATAGGTAATTCAATGGCAATAATTACAGGAAGAAAAGATGAGTGGGATGAGTCTGGTTTGTATATTGGCAAAGACCAGAGAAAGCGATATGTTAAAGGACTAACAAAACAGTTGCAATCTCCCCAAGTCCCCTCCTTCCCGAAGCGGGAGAATACACTGAGAAAGTTCTGCTTACCTTGGTGACACCGCTGTCAGCCAAGTTGGAGATGCTGAAGTGGGCTTCCCCTTCCTCAGTCTTGAATTTTTTAGAGGTGGGTCCTTCTTCATGGCTAAAAAAGAAATAAATGTTTTTTTTCTCCTTAAAACAGAAGAAACAGTACAAAATTCACAACTACTGATGTGAAAAGTATAAATTTATTCTTCAAGTGTCAAAAACAAGCTGACACACTTAGTCCTTCTTTACAAAGAGATGGCCTCCTTGCCTAGCCTCAGAGCTCCTGACGACCCAATAGAAGCAGCCCTGATTTTGTTTCACAGCAGTACAGAAATCATAATTAGCGGTTGCATCACAAAGCCCTCTCAAAAGATGAAACTGCAAGCACAGGTAATGGAAACCGAACATGTCAGTAAGAAACCCATTTACTCTTCAGATGCTACCTGCTAGTTTCTGTCTCAGAATTGATAACTATTAGCTTTCCAAGTACACAGAAGACCTTTGCGTCTAGTAACCCATCTTCTCCACCATGTATGTGAGAGCTTTATAAACCTCCACCTACAGCTGTCAAAACTTAAGAAACAATCCTTAATTAAATATGCAAGAGCTTGCTCTTAGGGAAATCTCAGACTATAAAACCATTTTCAAAAAAAAAAAAACCCTTTTAATTTGTTCTCCTATAAACCTGATTCTGTTTGGGGCAACATGCTAACAAGCCCAATAGCATCTGTGTGGTAAGGAAAGAGGACTCCACGGAAGTGCCTCAAGTAACATTCTGGCTTTAACAGCCTGCCTTAAAGTCAAGAGGAGGTCAAGTTAACTGCAAAGGAGAAGGAAATCAAATCCAAAGACTGCCCATAATCTCCCTTAAGCTGCTGAATACAGAGAATGAAGATTTTTCTCCCAGAGAAATAATCAATCTGGGGCAAAAACAGCTGTCAAGAAATGGCTGAATGAGAAGAGAAATTAGTTACTAAGATCTAGTATTTCTAAATGTGATGTTTCAGTTCAAAAGCCCAACCTTCAGGCAGTGAGGCATTAGGAAGAGGTTATCTTAAAAATAAAGCAAAGAAAAATAAGGCATAAACTGGCTTATTCAGTGATATTTCAATAACGAGTCTCCTCTTACAGCTAGATACGAGGACAGAAGTAATCATTAGAGCCTCACAAAAACATGAATTAAACGTTTATGACTTGTCATCTTTCCCATTTACCACTTGCCTCTAAAAAATTTGAGAAGCAAAGCAGGAGACAGAAGGATGGGGACCAGGAAACATTAAGAGATGAGTCATCCTGAGCTCTTTCCTTCAAACAGAATAAGAAATGCACAAAGCCTTGATGGCAAAAACGGAGGGAAAATGCACAAAACCCAAGAAAGAGTGAAATTCCATCATAATTTGAGTCCATTCAAAAAAAAGTCACAGCCATTTCAGTTAACCTCTGCCAGTTGTTCCCATGAGACAGAAGATATAGTACTGCTAAAGATTTGGAGACAAAAGACCTGAATTCTGCTTTTAGTTTTGCCACCCGCTAGCCCTGGAACCTTAAAGCTTCTTGAAGGTATTGATTTCATATTAATTTTAGTATATTTAGAGTTTAGAGTCTAATAAGTTACTATCCTTTTCTCTGATCTTCAGTTTGCTCTTCAGGAAAACACTGTGATGAAAAGTATAATGAGTATATCAACTATTCACTTCTTCTCTTCCAAAGTACAAATTAACTTATATAATGGTATTAAGAAGCACTAAATATAGGGAGCACTATGCTAAGTTCTGTGAGAATACAAGGCTGAACCACATAAAGAATTTCTTAAACCATCCAAGACTGCAGGAAAGGAAGGATAAAAAGCTATATATATCAATTCTCTAGAACGAGGCAGGTAAGGGAAGGTCCAGAAATAAGCAGAAAGTAGTGAAAATTTAATATAGTTAATAATCTCAAGATAGAATCATTTAATAGCATTATTAGGAGTTCAACATATAATAAACTCATACTTTCTATGTGAAGTGGAAAAGGGCAATGACTTTCATCCCCAAATTATCTATGAAGAAGCTGAGCCCGGGATAGTAAAATTATCCATGCAAGGTCAAGGTAAACATACAAGTGTTAAGAGCTACTGAATTTGATGTCAGGACCATTGGTAATTTGTTGTTTGTTCTCCTTTCTCAGTTTCTTTCATAAATATGTACAAATTTTGTAATTCATTTATTTAGCCAAACATTGACCTAATACTATGTGTCAGCCACTAAGCTAGGCTGTAGACTCTAAATATACAAAAATTAATATATAATCAATACTTTTAAGAAGTTCAGCCAAATAAAAAAAGCTAAATATATAAAAAGGCAATTAACAAAATATTGTAGTAAGCAGCATATCTCTGTGAGGGGACAGCAAGTAGCTCTATTGGTTGAGGCATGAGGTGCAAGCTAGGAAGTAGTGAGAGATAAGGATAGAAAATATCTATATTATACACACACATACTGTGAGGAAAGAAAGCAGTTCTCTAGGTAGCTGGATTATGAACAAATCTTTTCTTTCTGCTTATCTGGGTTTTCTCATTTGTGTAACAGAGTTTAATCTTAAGCTGAAGGTAATGGAAAGACCAAAGCAAAGGTTTTTAATCAGGGGTCCAAGGATGGCATCAAGAAATGTGTGAACCCCCTGAAAATATATGCAAAACTAAGTATGTTATGATATTTTACTGGGAAGAGGGTTCATAGTTTATTATCTGGTTATCAAAAGGGTTCACCATTCACATGTGTGTGTGTGCACGCGCACACACACACACACACACAGAGATTAGGAATCACCTCATTAGAGAATTTTAGCGAGGGAGTGATGTTAACAGAATGCAGAATGCAGAAGAGACTAAAAAGGGATATGACTAGAATGAGGGAAATAGTTAAAGGGTTGTCTCAGTAGAGTAGGCTAAATTGAGGCCTACGTGAAAGCAATGGCAGTGGGTGACACTAATTAGAGTTAACTTCTTTTAATGCTTATCATGTGCTCATCACTATGCTAAGCACATTTAAAATAGCTCAGCTAAACTTCACAACAACCCTATGAATTATTACTATTGTCTCTTTACAAATGAGCAAACCAAGGGTGAAAGAGGCTTGATCTTGTCTAAATTAGAGCACAGTTAGTAAGGGTGCACAATTAATCCTGAACTCTTAACCACTCTCTTATACAGCCTCCTGGAAGGCAGGTATTTGTCACTGCCACTTGGCACAGAGCAACTTGCCAATTTTGACCACTATTAGAAGGAGATGCTTGGGTTTGACCCAAATGTATCTGACTCCAAAATCAATGCTATCAGCCACCAAACTAACCTGAAGGAAAAGGAGTAGGTAAATCTAATACAACTTGGTAAACCAATTAGATATGGAAAATCAAGTGATGACTCCCTGGAAAAGTAGGTGTCATTCCCTATAATAGAGAATAATAGCATGGAGAGGATCCTTGAAAGGAGCGTAGAAGGAGAAAGAAGATGATGAAGTCATTTCTGGACATACTGACCTTGAAGTAACCATAGACACTTAAGATATCTAGAGGATAGGATGGAAACGTGTTAGAATGAGCATATATTTAGTAGTTTTTGAAGAATTGTATGTGAAATAATAAAAGGTCTTAAAACATGCACTGCTAAGGAAATATGCCATCCTGGTTGAGAGTACAAGCTCTGGACAAGCTCTGGAGTCAGACTGTCCACATTTAAATCCTTACTTCATAATACAGCCAGATGTGATCTTGGGCAAGCTTCTTATCTTCTCTAAGCCTCAGTGTCCTCAGCTTTGATATGGGGTTATTTAATAAAAGAACCTACTTTATAGAATGGCCAAGAGGCTCCAAACATGTAAAGCACTCAGCACGTTATCTGCGTCCAATAAATGCCAGCTTTTTCTGAGCAAGAGGCCTAAAGAACACCAACATTTAAGGTTGGGAGGGGAAGAAAAGTAGCCCCCAGAGGTATGTGAGAGGGAGCCGTCAAAAGTTCAGATAGACAAACCTGGAAAAGTTCAAGTTAAGGAAGATATACGAGTTTCAAGAAGAATAACTGACGATGTCAAGTGCTACAAAGAGGTCAAGAAAAAAAGGTCTGCTAAGCTGAAGTAAGCTTAGCAGTTGGTGTCTTTTGGAAGACCAGTTTCAGGGCAGCAGTGGGGGCACAAGATGGAGACAATGAGTACTGGGAAAAGAAACAGTGCAGACTATCTTCCAATTAGCCTGGCTTATGAAAGGAAAGATGACAGGAGGAAGCAAGGAGATTATTTTATTTTGTTGTAGGCAAAAAAGGAAAGAAATAAAATGTTAATGTGTAGAGAGAAAGGAGTAAGTACTGAGGGAGACGCTGAAAATATAGAAATTATTAGTGGACTAAGGTACCAGATGAGGCAGAAGAATGGTATCTCAGGACATAGGTGAAAGGACTAACTTGGGAAGAGGTACTGAGACAGGAAAGAAAGTAAAGGTAGAAGCAATACAGATGTGTTTTTAGATAAGACAGGCCCCAAAACTGAGGCGTTCCCACCTACTGACCTCTATTTTCTCTATAAAATGATCATCGCCATCATCATCACTGCCATAGTCATCACAAATATGCCAGGGACATGACTAGGATTTTGTGAATCATTTCTTCACAAACACCATACTTGTAATATGTAAGGCATTGTGCTGGGTTCTAGGGACACAACAGTGAACAGCACATATTACTCAATTAACCCTTATGACAACTCTATGAGACAGATACTCCTATTATCCCTATTTATTCATGAGGAAATTGAGGCTTAGGGAGGATAAGCAACCTGTGCCTAAGGCCACACTGCAGAGCAAGGGGACCAACGCACACTATCTGACTCTGAAGTCTGATATCTTAACCAGTAACCAGGTGAGGATGGCTACCGAAAGGTGGCGGGGAATCTTAGAGAACCTGAAAAAATAGAAAACTTTACACTATCTGCACAGAGACAAAAAGAAATCAAGATCACACAAGAGTTAGTTACACAAGCAGGATTAGACCTCAGATGTCCTATTTCTCACACAAGTCCCCTGTCCAAGAGATGAGATGACATTTTCATTTCAAACAGTGTTTGGCAACATTAAGGGAAGCAATGCTTTTATATCATAAGGGTAATATTTAGTACATTTCTGGACTACAACGTCAGATGGTGCCCTTACCCTGCTGAAATAAAGAAATCACTTTAACACAAAGGATTCAACAGGTTTAGCAGGAATAGATCTTATCAAATGTTCAAAGTTTTTATTAATAATGATACTGTTATTGCTTTCAGTTATGACTACTGACTTCCCTCCAAATAGTTCAAAGTGCTTTATTATCTGAAATTTCATTGTTACAACATCTCTTGACATAAGACTGTTTTTAGATGGAGAAACTCTCATAAAGGTAAAATTAGTTAACCAAAATCAGATCACGATTGACAAAGCTGGAATGAAAACTAGTGATTCCCTGCTCAGGGCTTTGTCTTGGCCTCTGACACTTCCTGAACAGCCATATGCCCACTCCCCAATCTTAACCCCTCACCCTTACACTGGAAGTACATATCCTCAATACAGAGATGCTGATATACACAAAAAATGTAGCTAGCTGTAAGCAACGTTTTTCTCCTTATGGAGACCATACCATAAAAATCAAGGGCTTTAAGAACCTTGCACAGGGAACCAAGTCATTCTTCTTGAAAACAGGAGATACTCGATAAATATTTGTTAAATGCATCATTTTCACAGTTCTTAAAGACTAAGATTTCTGAAGAAAGGATAGAGAACAGAAGCGTGAGGTGTGTGTAAGTGAGATAATTCTCAGGCCTCGGCAGATAGCTTGGCTATGTCACAAGCCATGACGGAAGCCAGCACTCAAGCCTCCTGAGTGAATGGTAGGATTAGAGCTGAAGGTGTAATCACAGCAGGGATCAAATCACAGAACAAGTCTTCTGGGTCTGTGTGGTGTGTGTTTTTTTAACCAGCTAATTTACATTTTAATCAACAGGAGAAGGAGAAAATGACCCCTTTCTTTCCCACAGCAGCAGAAGATAATCAAGATCATGAAGTGGAGCTTTGACACACGGAGAGAATAGCCAGACGACTGCGATGAGACTAAAGCAAGGCTGTCACGGGAAGGAAAGGATGCAGAATTTTACTGAACTGTTCGAAAATACTAATCCAGAGGGATAGAGGTAGATGAGAATGGCAGAAGGAAAGTGGATTTTTATTGATGGTCTTCCTATGTAGAAGATGGCATGAGAGACTAAAGAGAAACATAAAACTCGCCAGGATGTGTTAGGAATGCACATGATAGAATCGATCAATCCTATGGTTTTTTTTTTTTTTCAATTCTCACAAACATTGAGGTATTAACCTCTAAAGAGCTATAGAAAGTTCAAAGCTTTCTATTCAACTTAAAAGATAATTCACTAAATTAACAATTTAGAGAACCCTGTTAAAGATTCTAGAAATTACTTAATACTCCTCCAGAGGGGGTATTTACAAATAAGCTTTACTTTGTCAATAAAGATACAGCCGTGGGAAGGAAATCAAAGAAAAAAACTGTGGTCTAAACCTGGACCTCAGAATGCAACCTAAAAGAATGAATAGACCATTTCGATTTGGGGGGAAAAGCGACTAATAACCAAACCTATACCTGGTAAAATCAATGTTATATACCCAAATGATTCTGGATAATCAAAACCAGTTTCTTATGGTTTCTTTCTGTTTTGCTTTGAGTGGAAATTGATGTAGATTCTGAAGAATATGATGAGGGGAAAAAAAATCACTAGCTACCTAAAAGTTTTATTTAAGGATTATGCGAGAAGCATTTTACGATCTTTAAAGGACAAATATCTCGCCGGTGGTATAACCAGGTACATCACTGACATAGTAACAGCAGAGCTAAAGGGCCATGTTCTTCATTCTCTTTCTTATTTTTCTTCCAGAAATATCACTGATATTCTCTGGACACTTAACCTCCCAACTGAAAAACCTGTGACTTTTACCCCTCTTCTCTCATTCCCACCACCCTACTTTAAAAATGGTAAAATTCAATTTTAGATATAAAAAAAAACTGGTTAGCCTTCCTATATATATAATTCATCAAGAATTTGATGCTGATCAAAAAATCAACAACCCAGAAGGTAGCTCTACATTCCAGGTGAACAGCAAGGATAAAATATACTTACAATGGACAGATATGAGAAACCAGTATTTTCAATGCAAGGGTCAAATATGACCTCTGTGATTCCAGAAACCTATATGCAACCGTTAATTACAGACCCCATCTATGACTACCACCAATCTTAGGTACTCCACAGTCAAATGCAACTACATCGAGTACTTACTTGTCTTGGAATATGTCCTGAGCAGTCACTTGATCTTTTTTCTTGATGACTTCAGTCAGTGGGAAAAGGGTCTTTATTTTAGAGAGAGGAATCTGACATTTAGCTGTCACCTCAGTGGGGGTATCCAGCATATTCAAAATATGCTGCTGAATTGGGGGCAGAGGTTCCTGGGGATGTAAAGCTCTGTGCAGCAGACACTGTGGGAAAGGTATAAGGTTTTTAATATACAGATGTAGACATCATACATGGTTTCATTATGCTTTTCTGATCAGGGATCCTCCACGTTTAGTTTGGGAGGGCTCTGTGATTCCTACCATATATAAATGAGAACAAAGAGATGGGCCCAGAACCTCCTTTGTTAGCAGAACATGGATAACATCTAAAACCAACTGTAAAAAAGATCCAAGCCTAGCAGCACTATCAGCTGAAGCCCTCCTGGAAAGGAGCCTCATCTTATAAAAAGAAGCTGATACTTTAACTACTTGGAGAACATACAAGATTCTCTAAGATACACAATTCCAAGAGCCCCTGACAACGTGGGATTATAACTTTTACCTCCCTTCAGCGTACTGTGCTTTCTCCTTTGCTCAATCTTAGAAAACAATGTGGGGTGGATGAAACGGGTGGCTAAAGGGGAGCTGCCCATGCTCAGTCCCAGAAAGAAATCTGAGGACGAGAATACTGGTCTGTCCTGAACCTCCCTGAAATGTGGAGTTTGGGCTATTCTCCACCAATCCATCAACTCAGTTCATCTCCCCTACTACCACTTTTGTCCAGGCCTCACCACCTCTTCTGTGGGTTACCACAATCACCGTCTAACTGGTCTCCCTGCATCTACTTTCACTGTTCTACTATAGCTAAAGTCATCTTAAAACAAGCTCCTTACCATATCCTAAAGTCGTACGTAACGGAGCCTCTGCATGCCTCCCGTATTGCTCCACCTGCCACCTTCCTCCTTACTACAATCCAGCTCGACTGGGCTCTTCCAGTTTTACTCTTATGCTGAATTCCAAGTACTGAATACAGTGCCTGGCACATAATGAGCACCTAACAGATAAGCGCTGAAGGAATAAAGTGCTCTTTCTTAGGACTCTCTGGCTGTTGCCTGAGGTATCAGGAAGCAGCACCAAGAGTGAGGCCAGGGCAGGTCCTCCATCACGCACACGAGTGGAAATCTGGACAGCAAGCCACTTCCATTCAATCACCTGTGCTGCTTTCAGTTTGCTAAGCCTTGGCAGTACAGGTTTCTGCTCAGAAAAGCAAATACTGTAAAAGGAGTATAGGAAGGTAAGCAAAAAGGTGAGATACCACTGAGAGAAAGAGAAAAAATTAAACTATCAATTCATTGATATTTCTCTTTTATTGCTAGAGATTAGGTTGGAAAACAAGGCTCCTTCTATTCCCATCTTTGAATGACTTATATATTACTAATTCTGAAGAAAAAACAGAGCTGAATAGCTCCTGCAATTTCAAAATACTGTTTCCTACCATAGAAATATGACTTATACCACCCCATAAACTGTTTTCCCGCCCTACAGAAATGTAAGCTAGAAGCCTCCATTCTGATAAATAAAAGATACTTAGGCTTAAACAGTAAATATCATTCAAGAATCAATGTCCTACAAATTCAGAAAACCCAGAGGTAGAATTAAGTACCAATTTCCTCTAGAAATTTCAGGTGATGCTCTCTTGTTTCAACACACCAACTTTCTTCTCCATAGTATATTCATTTATTTCAGAGTTTGACTCCTGTTTTCCTCTTTCCTAATTACCTGACTTTCCCTTGAGCATTAATAACATCGACCTACTTAAAGTGAAGCAAAAGGGGAAACCAAAATGACCCCAAGCCCTGTGAATGCACTCCCTACCTTCCTGTGCATAATTCTTAATTCACAGTGCTCTCCCTTAGGTCATTAAAATATCTCCAACAGCTTAAAAGCCCTAAAGATATAAGCAATAATCAAACACACGACATAGCAGACTACCTTTCACACTCTGGAAGTTTCTATTTGATATTCAACTGACCTTTTTTTTGGAAATAACTAGAATAAACAATGGACAAGTATCCAATCCAAACTCCCTACTGAAAAATATTACAGATTTTAAGTATGAACTCTAGGCAATTCTTTCAGACAGTGCCATCATCCATAAGTCAGTAATAAAGGATCTACAAGAGATGTTCTAAAGCATCAACCTTTCATATTTTCTTAAAGGTCACATTTTAGGTAAAGCTAAGTGTGATACTTATAAATTCAATCAAAATATTGAAATTCACTTCTTAAAAATAAGATTATGAGAAAGTGACACTTTTAGTAGCTGAGAAGCTGAGATCAGCCCTTAATTTATTTCTCTTTTAAGCAATTATGATTCTTTGATGTGATTTTTACAATTTAAAAAAAGACTAGAGAAAAAACTGCACGCACATGGTTAGTTCCTAAGTTACTAATACATTGATTTTAGCAACACTATCAATTATTTAAAAGGCAGTTTTAACTGTATGCTTGACAAAAGATGTATTTTTCAGCATTTCTTTCCAAAATTAGAATTAAATTACCCTCTTGCCAACAAACTTATTATTAATCTCTCCCTCCTTTTGGCCCCTACTCCCAGCTCATCTACTCTGTTATAAATATTTCATTTAAAAAGAAAAAGAAAGTTTTCCTGGGTTCCATATCCTCCTACAGCTTTCTGGGTCCTCTCTCTCTCTCTTCCTCTTCATCAGTAAAGCTTTCTCCTCCAACACTGAACCTGACTCCTACCCCATTACTCTGCTGACTCTGGGCATTCTAAGTCATCCTCTATATCTACAAACTCCACAGGCCCACTGCCATGCTGTCCTTTACTCACCAATGTGCAACATCTGATTTGTGATTCTTTCCTTCCAGACATTCTTCTCTTCATGTACCTCCACAGGCACCAGTTTCTCCTAGTTCTTTCTACCTCTCTGACCTTTTTGGGGGTGGAGGCTAGAACACTGTTTGTTTGTTTGTTTGTTTGTTTTTAACAGCTCTTCTTTTTATGTCTATCCCTAATTGTCCACTCACATGTTGATGTTCAGGACTCTGTTCTCTTTCCTTCCCACTCAATATACTCTCTCAGATGATCTCATTCAACTGTTTCTACCTAAATGAGGAGGGCTCTCAAATCTCTATTTAGTCCTGAGTGCTCTCCTAGCTCTGCATCCTGATTTCCAACTTCCCACTGAGAGTCTATACTGGGAGAGCCAACAGATACTTCAAATTTAAACTTGCAAAAACAAATGACCTTTCCTATCTGTTCATTCTACATGCTTTATCACAATTATGGCAACACCACCCTTCTAGTCAGTCAAGCTAGGATCCTATTATCTTCAACTCCTCTTTATTTCTCATCAACCACCATCTAATCCCTTAAGTCATACTCTATCTTCCGAACTGTCTCCTCTCCATTCTCTCTGTCACTGCTTTAATTTAAGCCTTTGCGTGGGCCACTGCAGGTTTTCTAACTGGTCTCCAGTCCATCTCCTATGCCACCATCAGAGCTATTTTCTAAAAATCATGTCACCTTTCTGCTGACAAAATCTTTCTGCGATTACCCACTGCCTATAGGATAAACTCCAAATGCTACTTACCTTCCCTGTCACTTTCCCATATAGCCAATTCTCCAAGTTAATGGAGCTATTTGTAGATCCCTAAATACATCACACTTCCTCATGTTTTCATGCTTGTGCATATGCTACTTCTTTTTCCTGATATGTCCTTGTTGCATCATGTATCCCCCTTCTTCCTCAGTGACGCCTTCCTTAAGTCACCCACTTGCATGAATCTCTCGCTCTCTTATTTGCAAAGCATTTTGCACCCACCACTTTTGTACCAATTGGTTTTATCTCTCTAACCCTCTGGAGGGGTCTTTTCAAGTAGTAAGCTTATACTGTCTTTAGCACATGTATGGTACGTTGTTAGTATTTGTATTTTTAAAAAGTATTTTTTCTAAAAACAGTAAATTCAATTTATAAATGTCCTAACAATATTTTTTATACAGCTAAGCCATATTAAAAACTCTCTCCCTCAAAAGAAAACAAAGTTGTTAAACTGTAAAAATCAAACTTTCCAGTTCTTACAGCTCTGAAAGAACAATGTCTGTGTTCACAAGGCTTGTATCTATTCGTTAATTCAACAAACACTTACTGAAGATAAATATAAACCACCCTAGGTAAATCTGCCAACTATCAGAATTTTCTCTTTTTCACCATAGTAACCTGTTTTTGCAAGCTTTCCACACAAACTGGTCTGCTCCTCTCTCCCCTACAATGGCAAAGGCCTTCGGGTCTTGAATTCCACTTGTCAAAAACACCAAAGGATTTTATACAATATAGACTTGATTATACTTAGAATACTAAAGGTATTCACTGAGTCAGGTCTTTACATGTTAAACTTCATATTTCTAATTTTAGAAAAGTTTTTTTTTTCCACTAAAGAATTATAAGCATCAAAAAGCAGGCAACTTCTCCTGTGTAGAAGACCCCTCAAAATCCTATCAGGCCCTAATATGGACTTGAGTTAAAGTGCTTTGAAAAGTGGGTCAAAAGAGATAATCAATGGTCTCTCCATCACACAGCTCCCCCTTCCACAGGAAAAGCACCCCCAATTCCTCTGTGGGGAAGAGTTTGCCTGAAAAAGCTGCTTGTGATTTTTTTCCCAGTTTTTCAGTATTCAGAGAAGCCTCTGTTCTGTTGTCACCAAGTTAACCCAGGACGGGAATATATCTTTCTCTTTAACTGTAGACTATGACTCTGTTTCCTCAGCATAAATCATCTCTCTTGTCAACTTTCCCTTATTCCAATCTCTACATTTCCATTCCTTTGGCCCAAGATTCAGAAATCCGTATTTTATAATTTTCTGAATTTGTTACTCTTTAATAACTTCGTACTATAACCTCCTTATCTGACCTCTATGTTACCTTAAATTATGAAATTTTTGACAAACGTGGCACCAGAACACTTCTTCCCTAACAGTGATTATTATACAGTTCATAAAAACTAAAGAAAAATCTCATTCACATAGAGAAAAGCATAAAAGAATCTGCTTTTTATTAAGCCCTCTTTTTAAAAAATAAAAACAATAGCCTTTCTCCAGAAAAATAATTAAAAAGAATTCTAACTTTGCTTCTTACTTTCTAAAAGCTTAGTGTACTTTTCTTTTTTTAGCGGGTAAAGGAAGTTATTCTTCTATAAAATAGATAGAGCAACTGAGGCCCTCAAAGGATATACCCTAACTTTTCACTCAGTTCTCCTTCATTTAAGAAAATGCAATTGGTTCATCTTTCCTTTCTCACCTGAAATAATCTCTGAAATTGAGGATTTGGGATTTTGGTGGTCGGAAATAAGTCCTCAATCGTGTCCTCCTCTTCATTTTTCTTTATCAAGTTCATGGAGTCAATCAAAGCATCAATGGCACTCAACTGTGCTTCTAAAACAGGATAAAGAAGGAGAAAGAAAAAAAAATGACTACCTACATTATTTTCCATTAAAATGAGTTCTTTCCATTCATAGTTATTCATAGCAATACTGGCAGGTTATGCGGCCCTGGCTCTGCTAAAAATATTCTCTAGTTATGCATGTCATTTACTCAAGTCTTGGTTTTCTTATTTGTTAAGCATTATTTAGAGCAGCTGGTCTCTTAGGTCCTTCCTTTCCAGCTCTACCATTCAGTGAACTTTCAACAATGAAGTAGCATATCAAAAGCAAAATAGTTTCTTCCAGAGGAACGCATCACAACCACACAAAACTCAACTTGTATACGGCAATTAAAAGTATTCACTATTCACTAATCAGTAATTAGCTAAAGGAGAAAACTATTTTTACAAAAAAAAAAAGAAAATCCCTCTGATAATGAAGCATTAACTTTATAAGGATTTAACATCACTGTACCAGAGCGAGGAGATACCTTGACAATCTCCCCAAGTCAGAATGAGCTCATGGTACGAAGCACACTCACACACACCTGCATACACATCTGACCCTACTCCAATCAAATGCTAAAGAAGCCCAAGAGCAGAAACATGACTTCCTTTTTCTTATGTCTGTCCTAATACCTAACAGAAAGCAAGTGTTTCTCAATAAAAATCTACTGAGTCAACGAAAATGGCACAGCCCAAAGTAATGTGGATGAAAGGCAAGTCTCCCCAAAATGCTTCTACTTAAACTACAATGTATAACTCTCATTCTGCTGATTAATATAGTAGTTCAGCTGTGAAAAGCTGAAGCGCTATTTTTAGATATTCGGTCAGTAGGCAAAAGGTGGAAAAGAGTAAGCAGTTCCTAAAAAGTCAATTTTGCTTCTATTCTTCATCTTTTCAAATATCCCTTTTGTACAGCTACTACAAAATGAAAGAGCATACAGATATTTATCATGAGATGTTTCTATCCCATTTTTGGACTTTCCAGGGGGAGGTTTCAGGCACTGGCATCACCATGTTAAGCTGACTGCTGCAGGATCCACCTGGCAATAGTAGGAAGTAGTACCTGTGTGTTAACATTCCAGTGATTTTCCCTTGCAACTTCAAGGTAGTACCAGGCCTAATTATTATGGCATTGCATAACCTTACGTAAGTGTCACCTTGGAACATATGCTAAGCAGTTTTAATGATGCATTTCTCCAATTGTAAAAATACAAACAAAACTATTTCCACTCAGAGAAAATGAATCAAGAGATATTTAATGTTTTAGTTCCTGAGTGAAATATATGTCTATAATTTCTCAACAAAGTTATCTTTTTAAAATGTTCTACTCGTTTAATGTTTGGAATTATCAAGAGGAAGAGACAGAATACTGCAACATGCTGGCAGCTTCCGTACACTGAAGTCCATGCTGGGCTCCACCATGCTGCAGACGGACTCACTTCTAGAAGGTAAAGATACCAGTCCTAAGGGCCCACCTGACTCTTGGCTTTCCTACTGCATGCTGCGTCCAACAGGCCCAAACCAAAGGAGAGAGAACCCAGTCTTGAAACAAACCTCACAGTTACCTAATCCTACACTGGCAGATTTAACCCTGTTAAGTGAAACATCTACTCATCATTTTGTGTTCTTTTTGGTATGTTCTCTCCATCTGGCCCACTCTTATACTTTATTACAACTGTCTTAAACTGTGAGCTCTCTGAAAGACAGGATTTGCGTCTGTGAGAATCATTCTGTGTAACCATCCTCCACACCCGACACAAGCAATAAAGGCCTTTTCTCATCAAGTTCAAAATAAATCCTAGAAATAAGGAACAACGAGACTTGGACTATTACTGTAAACTACAAAAAATGGGCAAAGGGAAAAGGTAATCTTCAGCATTGTCACTTTTCACTTCAAAGTTACAATTTTTGTAATGTAGGACACTAACGTCACAGGTTTGATACATATCAACTCACTTCAGCAGAGGGCAAACCTGCTCACGCTAGAGGATTCACATCCATAGCTAGCAAGCTGTTCCCTAGATACAAGCCCTAAATCAGAAGGGGAAACCTAGAGAGTGCTTGAGAATTTATAGAAAACCTGTCTCGACTATAGGAGAACACTCGATGAACCACCTTCACCACTGTTGTATATGAGTATGATTCGGATTCAACTAATTCCACCCTCTGAAACCCTGGCCCCAACCAATGACTGCAGACAGGTGATTTCCTTAGAACTGTCCATGTTTAAAGCTAATTAGTGAGCAAAATAGAAATAAACTCACCCGTGGGAGTGTATTTCTTATTATTATGCAAGGATGAAAACATGTATTGCCGCAAGTCCTCCATGAAAGGCAGCTGCACATACACTAAACACTAACGAGAAAGAAAGGAGGGAAAGGCAAAAACAACCAAATTAGCGAAAAAATATAACTGGTCCGAAACGCTAAGAAAGTGGCATAACAAAGTTATGTCAATAATCAGACTGCTCAATGCTGGTGCATGGACAGAAAAGTGTTTTGATTTTCATTTTGATTTTCATCAGCTGTACATAACGGCAAACAGTACAAAGAATATTAAACATAAAAGAAATGCTTCAGAGAAAGACTATCAGAGAATACCTGCAAAATGCATGACCAATGCAATAAATGAGATGAGTCAAGGTGATTGAAAAGCTGATGTGCAAATCAAAATATTTGCCTTCTCTTTTCCAGTTCTGCCACAATAAGTTCTTTGAGAAATAGGAAATGGTAAGGAATACAGATCTGTATTTTAAATAGAAGCGCCCTATATAAACTGTATTTCACAAGGATCACGACAAAATCACACCCTCAACCTTTATCCATAGTAAATAAAGGCTGTTGTGAAAATAGAGGTAATCTCTATTCTCATTAGGTTCTGAGACATCAAGAAGGATGAGAACCGAGAGGAGGTCGCTGGATTGGGCAAACAGAAGGTCGTTGTTAACATTCGCTGATTTGATTTAATAAAAAGCTACTTTACATACTTAAATTAATTTCTGTTCTTTCATCGAAATTGAAAGTGTGGTTCACAGGCCAGCAGCATCGGCCTTATTTGGGAGTGAGAAATGCAGAATCTCAGGCTAGACTCACAGAATCAGCAGCTCATTTTAACAAGCTCCCCCAAGTAATTCCCATGCACATTAACAGCGAAGAAACACTGTTTAGAATAAAGAAACTAAAGAAATAATTAACACAAATAAAAGACTTGTGGGTTTTACCTCATAGGTGTCCTTGATGTAAGGAAAAGCCACGCCAACTTGAGGATTAGCTCTTTTGTCATAAGCATAGCGAACTATGGCCACCATGCCTAATTCATCCAAAGCATGAATCAGGGAGGAAAGGGCAACAGCTGCTGCCTGTGAAGAGAGGTCTGTGATTGACACATTCCAACATGCGAGAATGTTCTAAACAAGACCAAATACTCCTAAGACTGTTATTCCCTTCCTTCCTGTTTCAGATCTTTTTTTAAAGTGCTCCGTTATACCCACACTGTACACACTGGCATTTGATCATATTTACTGTACCTCTTCTGGAACTTTAATTCATTATCTAAATACTTTCTTATCACTTCAACCAACCTTTTTCTCTGATTCATACCCTCACCCTTCTAGTCTCCGCTTTCCTAAACAAAATCCTTCTTGGTCCCTCTCTCTCCATAAATTACTACCTGTATCTTTACTTCCTTTAACCTCTAAATTTCATGAAATAATAGTCTTGCTGTTTTCACTGCTTAGAACACAATTATTCTTCAGTCTAATCCAGCTTCTGACCTCATTTTCTTGGTGAAATTGTCCTCTGAGGTCACCCGTGGCCTCCTAATTGCTAAGTCCTTGGTTGCCGTTCTACTTTTTTGACCTTTCAATGCATGTGACCAACCCCTTTCTCTATACTTTCTCCTTCTTTGGCTTCAGAAACAACAATCTCCCCTGATTATTATACTCTGTGGGCCACTCCTCCCTCAGCTCTTCTCTTTTTCCAAGTAATCTTGAAATTCTGCTGTTGACCTTTCTCTCCTCCTAAAACTCTACTTGGGGATTATTTTATCCAGTCTTGTGAGCCAATGAATCAAAAATCTGTATATTGAGCTTTAAAACGCTAAGATCCAGACTTATATTGAATACTAGCTAGTAAATATCTCATTTGGTTATACCTCAGGTACCTCAAACTGTCCATAAACAAAACTAAACTATCTCCCCTCATTCTCCTCCTCAATTCCTTACCTCCATTCACACCACCTCCTAGTCAACCAAACAAAAAGCTCCTAAGTCTTTCATAATGCCACCTTACTCATCCCTCACCCTAAAATGTTCACTAAACTCTGCCAATTCTACTTTGATGCCAACTCTTAAATCCATCCGTTCTCTTCCATCACTGCCTCCGCTGTTCACAGAGCTGATCATGTCACATCCTTCCAAAAAAACCTCCAATGGTCCTATACTCCAGCCTCAGTGAGCTAATCATTATTCCTGGTTAAGTCTTGTACTTTCTCTCATCTGTAGCTTTTTATTCACACAATTTCTTTCTAGCTAGAATGTTCTCTCCAAATCTTTGGCTCTCTAGTTTCTAACCCATTTTCAAGGCTCAGTAAATTGATATCCTCTCCATTTCAGATTTGCTTTAGACAACTCTCTCCTTCTCCACAACTCCCTAAACACTTTACACTTTTCTCAGTATTAATGCTAACCTTCACTGAAGTTATCTATTTATATTCCTATTTCCACCACTAAAAACCTATGACCTCAATATACCTTGCCATCAAAATCTTCTACAGATTTCACAATAGACTCATCATGTTTTTAGTTCTAGGAGTATTTACTTAGTGCTTACTCTTTGCTAGGCACTGTCTTAGGCCCTGTAAGAAAATCAAGATAAGTCCCTGATCTCACTGAGCTAATACATTCTTTACTAGCAGACATGAGAAATGTATCAAATACAGAATGTATACATCCTAATTTGTCCCGAAAGAGAGACCAGATAAGCACAATGGAAGTCTGAGAAAGAGATTACTTTCAATTGGTTTGCAAGTTTTTATTTGGATGTCTTTGATAGGACCAATAGGGATATGTAAAGTGAGGAAGGATGGGGTCTTGAATAACTGCTACGCTGTCATATGACACTACACCTACAGGAAACTCCACTAAAGCTCTATTCCCTTTTCTTTCCCTTTTCCCCTTCTCTTCCACATACAGTGCAAACCAGCACAAAAAGTGTAAATTTTCTTTACAAAAGAATAATTATGTGTTAATGACCAGAGAAAACATATTTTTTTAAAAGGGATTATTCACAGAATCATAGCATGTTTGCTGAAAAACAACAGTATTCATCTAGTTTAACAACCCACATGAGGATGGCATTCCCTCTCCAACACCTGACTGGTAGTAATAAGGACACTGCTTGGAAACTTACAGAAATGGGGATCTGACCACCTCTCTTCAAGAACCAATCCATTTGGAGATAATAATCCTTGTTGACAAGATAATTCTTCACCTTGAACAAAACTACCACCTTTTGGTTCCCATTTACCCTCTGGTAGGAAGCACAGTTTAATTTCCACTCCATTATAACCCTCCAAATGTATGAAGAGGGCTGCTGTGTCTGTCATCTCTCCTACTCCCCTACCTACCTATGCAAGTCTTCTCCACGCAATCTTTTACTGGAAGTCCTCATATGACAGTTTCCTTACTCCCCTGCTTATCTCATAAGTGCCAATTAGTTAACATTATTCTTGGACTATGACATCAAGCACTGACACCAAAAAGTAGCTCTTTCTCATTAGGAAATGACAATATTTTTCCTTCAGTCATTTCAAAGTGACCCTGTAGTCTACAAGGGCTGTATGAGGCTGGATTTGAATTATGCAAGCCCCCAGGCCACCCTTAGCTAGCAAGTCAAGATAATCACATGTACCTCAACACAGCTTTGTGACAAGATATTCCTCACTGCATACCTAGCAATCACATGAAGTATTCAGAATTTTCTTTGTGTAAAGGGACAATAAGAAATTAAAACTTCAGAAGTTAGAAAGGCATACGAGATATGTTAACATATATTAGAACTGAATGTTTCCCAAATGGATTTGATTCAGGAGAAATCCATGAACTAGTATTCTCAAATTTGAGGATTCACATATGCCTACTGTGCACTAATAAATTCATTCAGTATTGAGTGGAAGCCAAGCATTTTCTTCTTCTAATTTTAACTGTTGACAGAATAATGGCATACTCATTTATTAGATCTGCAGCCAGTTAAGCTTCAGAAATGAGGAGATAAAGAAGACTAGATCATTTACACCATCACTCTTCTCCCAACCCAAACGAGCCTTCCACATCCAGTTTATTAATTTCAAATGCAAATACTTCCAAAATTTGGAGATCCGACTGAGTAGTCTTCAAAAGACTATGATTGTAATCTTCAAGTTCAGATCAACATCTCCAAGGAAATTACAAGTTCTAACTTGGAGGCTACACAGAAAATATTTACTTAGAGGGCAGGTGTGAGTGTAAGATGTGACAGTCATGAGTTGGTTCTTGGCCAGGCAGAAACCAGGCTGAAAACAGAATGTCTCGGGAAGATAGGAGAGTACAAAGAGAGAGGGAAGGGGAAAAAGGCGAATTTCTGGATGGTGGAAGTGGTCCAGTGAGTCAGTGAAGCTCACCTCTGGGAGGCTTAAGCTGGCACTAAATGTTCAATGTTTATGAAAATGAAAATGTCAACCTAACCCCAACCCTCCTGAACATCAGACCATGGGATTCCCACACTGAATGGATGTGTTCAGATGTTCTTGTTTATAACAGTCACCTGATCTCCAATTTGCTGAACTATGTCCTCAGACCTTGTGCTTATAGGATGACAAATTTATTTTATCATTTCTCCATCTTCAGAGTTAAAAGTCAGTGAATTTTCCCACTGCTGTTGCAAGAACTAATGTCATTTTAAACTATAAAGCCCCAAACAAGTGACTTAAAATGACAATTCAATTCTGTGACACTACCTCAAAGACCCACTGTCAACTCACCTCATCATCTTTTGCTGCAAAGACCTTTAGAACTTGATTTCCCATATAATATTTCCTGTGGACCTACAAGAGTAAGTAACAAAAGAATTGGTTTCAATCCAAAATAAGTAACACGTAAAACTGTAATGCTACACGCTACTAAGAAATTCTATTAAAAATGTTCTTACTGAAAAACATTCACAGGTAATAGACGCAACTTATTACTTGAGGTTCAAGTCGATTCAACACCATGAATATCTGAGCACCTGGTATGTGTCAAAAACATTGTTCTGTGCACTATAAAAACAATGAACAGGATCTAGAATTGTCCTGAGAAGCTTGGATAAGTATGAAATTAACTGCAATGCAGTACTATAATACAGTGTTACGAGAACACAAAAGCATAGTATTACAGTTCGATGCTATAAGAGCACATGAGAAGGGCATCTAGCCTGGTCATGAGGGGTCAGGGAAGGCTTCTACAAATGGTGACACTAAGACCTAAAGGATGTGTAGGAACTGAGATAAAAAGTCTGGGCATAAGTGTCCTGGGCAGAGATAATAGTGTGACTCTGGAGTCGCATAGAAACAAAGTATATCAGGGGAACTGCTTTGGGTATAGCATAGTCCCCTCCTATCTCTAAAGCCTAGAAATTATGAGCACATTCACAAGTAAGAGCAGCTCAAGAAGACTGAGTCTCAAAGGTGTGGGGTGAGGCCCATATAATTCAAAACCCTTCATCTCCACTTCCATTCCCCATTTGAAAACCATTATTTGAAGAAATATGGGAATGATCCTATATTTTTAGTTTGCTACATTTATACAGATTTATTTGCCCTCCTAATAGAATCTGTAATAGTTCTTGACTGATTAAAGAGGAGCTAATGATATCTTTTCCTAAGGCACCTAAATGACTTTTCAAAAGACAGCCAGCCATTTGGGGGAAGTTCTGGCTAAATTCTTATCTGTCCTATAATTAGATACCCAGAACACTGACAACTTGGAGGAAGATAAATTGAAAAGACTCTTGAAAATTTAAAAGAGAAGATTAATTCACAATTCAAAAAAGGAAAAAATATCTCAAACCAAAAAAACCTATTTTATATAATGAAAAGTTTCACATCAGTTCAATCCAGAAATGTTAGTTTCCCTCACTTTTAGGAAGTTTGGGAAAATATGTGATCTTATTAAAGATAATTACTAGTCTGTTACAAGGTGCACAATTATTATACTTTATCTTGGTTGACATGGAAAACATCTTGCTCTTAAGATGACGTATATGCATCTAAGACAACGTGAAAGCACGTATGTAAAAATGAGACTATTCAAAAATGAGGCTGTCCACCGGGTGGGCAGATTACAAATGATCAATGGCATAGGTTTTGGAGTCAGAGAGACCCGGTTCAAAATCCATCTCTACCACCTTCTAGCTAGGTGACCTTTGGCCAATTATTTAACAGCTCTGAAGCTTCTAATGTATAAAATACATATCATGGCACCTATCGAAGAAGGTTATAACAAGAATTAAATAGGAATTTATACAAAATGCTTAGTAAACTGACTGGAGTATTATAATCACTCAATAAATGATTGTTATTATGACTAACTTCATTGTACCTTTCTGAGATTGTACTTAAGACAAAAATAATTTAGAGCTTAAAAACAACAAAAAGTAGATTTGGAAAATACTTCCTGACTTAAAAGTTAATTTTAAGTTAGTAAAAATCTTTAAAAATGGAAAATGTACTTTTTGTTCGGCTCACTACTTTTTGCTTTGCCATTCAGTAGGTCCCCACTCCTACCCTGGCACAGGTGACTTCAATTTTTTGTGTCCTGACTTACACTTTCAGATGTTTTGGACAGGTCTTTTCGGCCTATCTGGAATCAGAAAGGAGGCCAGTTTCTACAAACATGTCTGAATGAAGGCTGTTTCACAGAAAAGACTTGGAAGCACTACTATCAGTAATCGTAAATTTTAAGTTTATATACCTCCCAAAGTGAATAATTTTATTTTTAAGAAAAGTCTATTTTGTGTAATTTGTTAGAAAATTGTTAGAGATTCTCAACTTACAAAAAGCATTTATCCTCACTATTAAATCACATTGACTTTAAGTAAATCCTCCCAATTTTCAGCTTATGAGTTTTAAAAATGTATCCAACAATTTGGGCATATCATGAAAAACATTCTCCCCAACCTCACTGAATTATTCGAACACTGAATCACACAGGGACTATGTGCTTGAGCAGCATAAAGAAGTTCAAATCCAGTATACTGACTAACATTTATTGTTATTATAATTCTCAATTGAGTTCATCTAGAATCAACAAAAATCTTTTCATCCCTATAGAGCCTGAAAAGATACATTTTATACTTATTTGTTCTCTTTGGTTGCCTACCTCAAGAACAGTTTCAGCTAAGACCTCCAGGAATCTTTAATAACTCTTTCTAGGAGAGTACACGATATCCCACGACCTTCACTGAATTACTGCATTTCCCATTGTGTCTATTTTTTGTATCTTTGCATTGGTGTCTAAAACAGCATGACTTAGATAAGTTTCACATCTTAGACCTCTTTGTTGGGCACGGAGATGAAGGGTAATGCATAAATCAATGTTATTCTAAGGTCTATGGTCATTCAATACCCAGCTAGACCTTTATTCCTATGAAACACTCCATAAAACATAACAGTTTAGAAAAAGCAATATAATAGCAAAGAACTAGATACTGTTTAAGGCTACTATGAGCTATGACTGACAGGAAAGCTAGGACGTGACTTTTAATTGAATCTGATTCGTGCTGACTTCTCTACGTCTTGGTTTTTCTCTTCCAAAATCAGAGAGCAACAATAACTCCTAGACTACATTTTAGGAAAACTAAAAGTGAAATAACCATATATTATAAATAAAAGGACTAATCAAAATCACACCATCTCAAATAATAACAAGAAAAAGCCCATTTATTTTGTTACAATTAGTAGAATAAGTGCTGTACCTGAGAAGATCTACAAAATCCCAGAACAGAGAAGCACTTCCCCGCCGATTTATATTTCATTTGTTCCTCATCCACTTTAGAGAAAGGAATAATATCACTCCCATAGCGGAACCCTAGAGAACGAGAAGAGTATCTGTTAAGCATATGGGCCTTGTTTTCTACACGCTGAAATCAGCCCTCCACATACATTAACAATATATGCACACTCCGGATCAAGCCTCCATATACTATTCCCTGGAATCGAATTTCTTCCCCTTGTGATCAATGGTGAAAAAGAAGCTGCAGATACACAAACATATACAATACAGAGTCAATTAAAATCTAATTACATTTTTAAGTACATATTCTGCAATCTAGTTACCTTAATGATTATTTAGCCTAGAAGAATGTAGCAAATGCAATGTACTAGTTATCCTCCAAAGATAAACCATGGTTGACTATAGTACAATCATAATTTGTAAATATAATAACAAGAATACATTTATTCAGAAACCTAGAGACAGAGAAAAATATCCATAGAAAATTTTCAGAACAAAATGTTTTCAAAAATGCATGCTGGAAGTACCCAAATGCCTAAGAGAAGCAGCCAAAACTCTTCTTTTGAGAAACATTGAATTTATAAGTTGGCTATTTTTCTGCATTTAAATTTATTTTACTTCTGGAATTGGATTGTCTATTTTTTTCTTTTTCATTATTTAGGTTATTCATACAAATATAGGCGCTTGGCTTCTTTAAAAAAAAAAAAAACAACAAAAAACCCCGATGCTGTTCCAGGGCTTCTGCTCTGTGGAAGGTAATGGTCTTCCAATACACAGTCTTATCTGTTTCACTGGGAGAAGGATCATCAAAATCCAAGGATTCTGGCTTTGGGTAAAGGAAAAGAAAAGCACACGCACCTTTATTCCAGGAAGCAAAGAAACGTGATTGAGGGCAGAGTCTGTGACCCATCATTTATTTGTCCCTGTTAATCTGTTGATGTCATATATTTAATTTAAAAATGTTTTTCTACCTTATGTCTTTTTATAAAATTCCAACAAAAAAATTAACAAGGAAATGTATGGCATATGATTAAGAGTGGTATTTAAATCAAATGTTCTAACTTTTCTCTGTCATCAGACATCTTACTTGAATCGCGTACTAGTACTTTGAAAAATTCTAATTAAAACTCCAATGTTTTTTGGTTCATCTATTTAAAGGACAAATCAATAACTAACTTTTGTACATGGCAAAAAGTATAGAATAGACTACAACACATAACCATATTCCTTTGTCCACACATACTAGTCCCAACGAGTAAGAAAGAGAACTCCACATATTAGGGCATAGAGAATGCAGGACAGGCAAAGGAATATGTGGTAACTGCAAAAAGTTTGAGAGAGAAAAGCTGAAATTCTATGCTCTTTGAACTCAAACAATTTTAACTCTTCCTGCTCCAATGCTCCACCAATAAATTTCCCTTTGCCTAAGATAACCAGAGCTGCTTTCTCTGCTTCAACCAAAAGAACTGGCACCCTCAACTCTAGTCTCTTCTTCCAATCTATCCGAGCTCCAGCTGTCATATTAACCTTCCTAAAACACAGCCCCCATGACATTCTGCTCCTCAAAACTATAAATGGAACCAAGTTGCTTTCAAAATTAAGGATAAACTCTTTGGCCTATCATTCAAAGCCCTTTCTAGTTCAGAATAGCATATAGAATATAGACTCTGAAGTCAGATAGCCCTGGGTTCAAGTTCTGCTAGCTGCTAGCTATGTGACTTTCAATACACTAATAAATGTGTTTCAGCCTCAATTCCTCTATCTATAAAATGAATATAACAAGATTGCTTGTTTTGCTAGGCTGTTGTGAAGATTAAAAGAGAAAATATAGTCTACGGCCATGCCACCCTGAACAAGCCTGATTCTGTCTGATCTCGGAAGCTAAGAAGGGTCAGGCCTGGTTAGTACTTGGATGGGAGACCACCTAGGAAGACCAGGTGCTTGCTATAGGCACTATAGGCACTAGAAAATAAAAAAAATAAAGGATTGTAAGCTGACAAGGTCCTTGCAATCTGTGAGGTCAACCAAGGGTTGCCTAGCCTAAAAAAAAATAAAAATAAAAAAAATAAATAAAAGAGAAAATACAGGTTCTCTATTAGATATTACCCTCCAGTACTCATCTGTATACGCCCAATACACCAACTCGACTGCTTGAAATCACTGAGAATGTCCTCTATTTTCCTGGTCTTTTGCCTTTCATCATGCTACTCTTCCTACTATAGGTGGGTCATTATACTAGCTCGGATCAAATTATTAGCAAGTGATGGAGATGTAATTCTAATCCAGGTCTGACTCCAAAATTCATGTTAACTGCATTACACTACTCAATTAAATTAAAAAATTAGTAGAGATTATAGGGTATTGATTATATTCTATACATAATCCATCGGGAGAAAGGAAAAACCATAAGCATCACCACCACTTTTAACCACTCCCCTCCACCCCATTGCCCCTACAATAATACAAATATCCAGAAACACTGCAATACAGTGCCACAGATTAAAAAGGCATTTTTTTCAAGGCTTGCAAACTAAAACTATACTGGGTAGCACACAGTCTGGCAATAAGTTTCTATCATAGCCATCATTTGTTATCTTATAATTTTAGCTCTTGGACATTTAGACACTCTCAGCTAGTTTCTGAGCCCCCTGGATAGAGATGCCACTTAGACATACTATACAGATCAAATGGGTATAACATAAGAAACACATCTTTAAAGATCCTAGTGAACATGAAGGAATATAACAAACACAAATCATCTTTCTTACCCGCTCAATTACCTTAACGGAGCCTATCTGGCAGGATATAAGATCTAAAATTGGCACTCAGAAAAGTAATCACCATGGAAGTAAAAAATAAAATAGGATAAATTTAAAAACTTGCTTCAGCCACATTAACATAAGCGTTTTCCTAGCTAGTAAATTTCAAACTTTAAAACAAAGTCAAGCATTATGTCCCATCACTTGAGACATTTAAAACTTAGAGAGATGGAACACCTAAGTGCATCCCTGGGAACCATTCTGCCTAAGATCCAACAGACAAGCTAAAGGATCCAGTGTCTCATAATCCCCTCAGAGCTGTGTCTCTAGACACATATCACCTGGAAGAAAATCTCTTTCAGGCAAAAGTGGAAACCGTTATTGGCATACCTTGAATCGTATCTTCTTTTGGAACTTCAGTTTCATCATCGTCATTCAAGCAGTAAACAGTTTCTTTCTGTATATCTTCTTTTCTTAGGGTTCTTGCATCTACAACCATCCAGGACTTTTTAACTTTTTCCTGTAGAATCTTATTTCCAAAAGTAAAGAGAAAACACAGAAAGCTAAGATTCCAGTCGATAAAAGGTAAAACTTTAATATATTCTTTTTTTTTTTTTTTTGCAGGAAAAACTCCAGAACAATTAATTACTCTAGCTAAATTGTTTTGTTCTTGGTTATTGTAGAAATTGTATTTCATAACTTTTTCTACATTTAATTTTCCCTAGAGTTATCCACAGGTAAATATTAATATTTTTATGTACCCAAACACTTTCTATACAAAACCCTCAGATTGTCTAATATAAGAGGACCTATACATTTTGTTACCACAATTTTCCAATAAAGAAAGGGAGAGCACTCTATCTGTAGTCATAAGTTAATAAGAAAATCGGGGCGGGGGAGGGGGACTAGAAAGAAGGAAGGAGACTGTATTCTCAGTGCTCAGGGACACTATTCTAGGCCTGATGGATCCCAAAATAAAGAAGTACCTACAAAGATTTCATGTACAGTGTGGTTTGGAATTAAGTCCTTGAATAAACAAAAAATACCTGAATACATAAAAACATGTTTTTGTATATTTTGTATATTTAAAAGCTTTTATATATTTATTTTGTACAGTTAAATAAAAAAGGCAAGGAGGGTCATATGGCAGCATGGGCAAGAGACTTGCACTCAAACTGGAATTTCAACAGATAATTACCAAGAGCAACTCACTTTTGAAAGCATACTGTTATATACAAACATACATGTATAGCAAAAGGCAATCTCACAGTAACAAGTCAATATTTTTTGATACTTCACAGATATTGTTACTACTAGATCGTTAATAACAGAATTAGGTGTAGTTGAGTGTTCAAAACTCTGAACTTAACTCTAGTGTACAGGCTATATTTCTGCTGTGATATATAATGACATGACTTAATGCATTCCACTTTCCTTCCCTAAAAGAGAAAAAAGAGTGAGAGAGAGAGAGAGAAAGTGTGTAAGAGAAGGCCTGAAACTCATGATTAATAATCAATTATCAACGGAGAGAAAGAAAGAGGAGGGAATCAACCTCAATCACAGACAATTCGTAAAACTTCCCCTCCTAGTACACCTTTTTCATAAAAGCCAAATAGAAATGAAATAAACAGGGAGAGCAGTTAGAGAAGCAGTAATTACGGTACTGAATAACCCACACGTGAATTGTCAGTTCCTTATGTAAGCATATTTGTCTGTCAGGTAGCATTTCTTTAAAAAATGTGTACCTACCACTTACCGATTTATAAGCCATAATATTTATAGACAAATTGGAGCCAATGGTCAGCTGACAGGGCCAGGGCATGGAAGTCCTCTCAATTTTCTTAAAGATACACAGTTGTCTCAGACTCTCACTTAATAAAGAAAAATGTATAATGAAAACAACAATTCCAAAATGTTAACTTGTGCTAGATGATGCACTTAGTTTTCTAGAATGAGAAATGAACTGTTGTTGATCATAGAGAGAGGAACAGCAGGGGATGGCAGGAATGTGATGATCATAGTTGAGAGAGAGCCAGGATACAACTGAGTTGGCTTAGGAGAAAGGAGTTGAATTACTTTACTGACAGGTGAAAACAAACATCTCTATCTTCCCCTACTCAATCTTTTCTTTCAACTTGGCCAGTTACTATTAACATTTTTTTCAGGACCAAGGACATTTTGAGGATATGATGAAAAGACATTCATAAATGAGTATGCACATAATATAAAGAGTTCACCAGCTCCCTCAAAACCTTGGACTTGAGAATAAGAACCCCCATCTAGAATATCACAAGGTGGGCACCATACTATAACATCACTGCTCACAAGTGCACAATTCTTATTTAATTCTAATTCTCTTAAAATAAAAGGTATGTGTATATGCACATAATAGAGAGAATTAAATAAAGCCTCTCCAAGGGATAAAGGAACTTAGGAAACCATATTTTAGTCTAAAAGTAAAGCAGAGAACTCTAGGTTTCTTACTGGGGATAGAGAGGGAGATTTGGGGCGTAGTAAACATAATGTAAAGTGTTACTTCATTTGAACATAAGCCAAGATCAATTCTCTTTTTATCTGGCCCCTAAATCAAACACAACAGAGAAGATTACTGGAGATATTTGGAATCTGTGGAATTCACTAAAATAAGGAACAAAAGGAATTAGTGACCAAACACATTCAAAGCATACAGTCCAGACTATAATAGATCCCTTGGTACAGATGAAAAACATATCTAGAAAGTAGAGAATTATGTGATGTTATACAATATGGACAAAAAAGCCTCAAGAAACTCTAATTTTCAGAAATAATTTACAATGAGTAGCAGATAATCTCCCTGGCACCTTACTTCCAAAGCTTATGGTACACTTTGGCTTTGGATTTGTTGGGGAATGAATGGGTCTGAACCAGGTCTAATCTGTCTCATAGGACATTGCAAGTACAAGTATGAGTCGAGTTTAAAACCATCATGAGGTTTGAATTTTGTTTCAGGAGAAGTTTTAAAGACCAGCATCAAACAGGTAACATCTGAAAATACAGGATCAACTCTGCAGTACATGTGAACCTCCCCAAGTAGAAGTCAAGATATTTTCCTAAGACCTTCCAGGTGATGATGAAAATTGTCACCAAGGATTTCACTTCTTACCTGAAGGAATAAATTTCATCCAGCCCATCTTCACCTTCTAAAGACATCATCACCGTTTTCACCATCTGAATACCTTCTTTTTGTTGCTCAGTTATTCCTTTTAAAGGAAAGGCAGGTCCAAGGTGGTCCGAGCGCAAGCTGCCATCTCCTCTGTCCCCAGTTTCATCTTCCTTGCCAATTGGGAAAGGCAAACTATCAGGAAAAGATCAGTAGTAGTTAAGAAGACACACTCTGAAGCCAGATAATAAACTGGGTTCCAATTCTATGACTGTCACTGGCTATGAGAAAATGGGCATGTCAGTCAACATCCCTAAACTTTAAATTTTCCATCTGTCAAATGGCACTTACCTACCTTAGCCAATATTCGACTGGTTTCAAGTAACTGAAGCCTCTGTGATTTGGTTAAAAAAAAGGGGGGTGGGGGGGCAGGTGGGAGATCTTTTGGCTTATATAACCAAATTGAAAGGTCAAGGTTGCACATGGCCTTAGGATGAGTACACACAGTGTCTCAAACATCATACCAATTACCTGACCCTCTCACTCTCTATCTCCATATTCAGTCATTTGCTTTTATGCTGGCTTCGCTCTCTCAGACTGGCTTCCTCCACATCACCGCTGAACAAATTCCAGCTCACACTGCCCAACTCCACTACCAAAGAGAGATTGAGTATTTAAACCTCTCCTTTCACTATCAAAAAATCCTGGAATTAGTGGCAGCCTGGGGGCCAGATCCAGAAGAGGTCAGCCCTCATTTAAGCCAAGAAGTTAAAGTTTAGCAAGAAATGCTTCCTAGTTTAGGCTGAGTGATATTCTGGGCACACAAAAATACATAAATGAGTGCTCATTAATATCCCTCAAGGTTATTATAAAGATTAGAGAATTTGTATAAAATAATTAAAACTCAAATAATATCAACATTATTATTACGAAGAATTCCTCTACAGAAATTAGGTAATTGTTAGAAATAAGTAAAACCAATTTCGCTTTTATGTTTCATTCCAGTTGTTTGACTAAAACTTGACTGGGGTTACTAGTCCTGAGAATATCCAATAATCAATACCTGAACTGAAAACCAACCAACCAAACATGTCTTAAGATAATACGCTACATGGCACTTTACAAACACTTTCATGTAAACAATCTCATTTAACCCTTACATAGCAGGTAATAGAGATTTCTACCTTTATTTTCTAAAAAAAAAAACTAAAGTTACAGAGATGAAATAATATTGCCAAGCCACACAGCTAATAAGTGATAGAGCAGAGACTCCGTCATCTGATTCTAAGGGCAATGTCCTTTCCATGTAGCATATTACTTTTGCAAAACAACTGAATTCAGCAATCATTTCAGTTCACTCAACATTACCTGCCAGTCACCCTATGTGGATTGTTATTTTTAAGATGATTTGCTTGTCATTTTTCTATAATTAAGATAGAGCTTCCTATTTTCATTTTTTCTACATATACTTAGCATGACAGATTTGCATGTCCTGTATTACCTAGCAGACAAAGAGCTTCCAGGGAGCAGGGTATAGCATATAGGTTTTGCATCAGGCTACTGAGGTTTCTCTAATACCAACCAGGAAGAAGGGAAATGAAGAGTCAGGAAGTTACCCTAGAACAAGAAGTTACAATAACAATTCTTTCTACTCTGCAGTAAACCAGAAATAAACTTTCTCAGTAGTCAGTAGAAGAAACTAAAAACTAGGTTCAAGGAACAAGCCTGCTTAGAATATAGCACTTCTTTGACCCACTGGTATTTTTTTAGCCTACCAAGAACAATCAATCTTACATAGGTTATGCTGAACAATAAAACCAAAACTCTACTCTGTATGCTTTATATGCTAGAGGTTTGTGGCACAGGAAGAAATATTACCCAAGAAAAAAATACAACCGGTCAAATAACAAGCAAGTAGAGAAAAAAGCTACGTTCCCTCTTCAGCATGCTTTACAGTATTGCTCATACAGAAAAAAAGTAGCCCTTTACAGTGACACTGACAGAAGTGTGGTATGTTTCAGCTATGTAAAGGCATCCTGAGATGATGAAGAGAGAACAGAAGCCAATCTGGGCTGCTGAAGTGCTGAGAAAAACCTCAGCTCAATAAGGAGAGAAGTGTCACTTTAAAAGCACTTAATTTCTCTGAAGTACTGTCTTAACAAGTATCAGTATGATGGGTTATTCTGAATTATTTTTCCACAGTTCTATTTTTCAGCAGTTCTAAGAGGTACATACATGAAAGAGAAGTGCTTAATCCCCCATGGCAGGCATTTTAAAGCCAAAGGCTCACCACTCTGAGCTGGAGGCTTCTCAGTATAGCTCTCAGTCTGAAAAATGAGAGGTCCCAGACGCCTAATAATTCAACATCTTATGCTATCACTCTGCTTTCGCCAAAAATAGGACAAGAAAAAATAGGTTTCAGACACAGCAGGAAGGATTAGTGTAGTAAAAAGAACTTTCTGCTAGGGATATAAGATAAAGAAAGAAAATGCCTTGAGAGGAAATTAAAGTTCCTGGGGAGGAACTCCCCAACAAACTGAAATACATTCCTCCCTAAATTTGTATACCTCCTCTCTAAATACACATAAGCAAATTACATTTTATATATGTGCGTGTATCCTATAGATCTTAAAGAGTTAAAAATAAGCATTATTTGTGTTTAAAATGATCCCCAAGTTGGCATTCCTCTCTACCCTAAAAATGTCTACTGTAAGATATAGTTCTCTAGGGCTGTTCAAGAAAAAACACTATTGATCTGGTCATTATTTGGGTAAAGTCCTTTATGTAGACTGTGTGTTCTCAAAAATTCCTCTAATTCCTCAATAATTTGAGCCTAAGAACAGTGAACAAACAATCTACAACTGAGCTAAATTCCTATATTTCACTGTCTTTCATCCCTTTATCACCAGAACTCAGAATAGTTCCTCAGACGTAGAGAGTAATCGGTGAATATTTGTTGAGGTCAGTCATCTGACAGATTCCAACTCAGCGCAGAGAAGACTCCTGGGAAGCAAGTGCTCTATAAAGGGGCCCCACTCACTGCATTATGAGAGCACAGGATTTGTCTACAAACACTGTTCTTAGGGTCTTACAAAAATTGCAGGGAGATACTGGAGTTCCTTAAGTTATGAATTATTGTATCCAGCTGATCTTTGCTGAATGGGCTGCTGAGGTCAGTAAACACTTCAATATGCCTCTTGTTAAACTTCTTTCCTCTGAAAAAGAGAGTTATCACATTAAGAAATCATTCTCCTGAATTATTTCCTACAAATTCAAACACACTTGTTCACTAAACAGAAGGAGGCTAAGGAATAGATTTCGAGACAGTTAACAAATGTGATTACCTCCTAAGAGTTCACATTTTATTGATGCTCAGTTAAGTTCCTACCAAACACACAATCACCCAGTTATAACTCATACTTTTAGAGAAAATAACTCATCTTAGAGAAAATTTCAGATCATTATGGATATATTATATCCTGGATTTCCTAACTCTAATGTTGGTTAGAGATATCATTATCATTAAAAAGGATCCCTTTCTAGGGGATGTAAACAGGCGAATGGAAACAAGAAACCCTCCCAGTGCACTACGACTTCAGCCTAGCGAGAGTGTACTTTCCACACATGCTGGTCTGATTCTATTCACAGGGCTAGCGGTAGGATTTTGCAAAGTATGTATAGAGATTAAGAAATAATAATACGAATTTAGGGCTGAAATTTTAGTGCAAAGGTTATTCCTAATGGTCAAGGAATGTGCTCATGTGTGTATTCACAGACACATTTTAAAGGCCAGTAAATAAGTAAGTAATGAATCAAGAAGCTGGCCAGAGTGCCTATGCATCTAATTTCAGTAATACATGGACCATGGTACTAGGTATTTTTTTAATTTCTGGTAATTAGCTTAAGTCAAATAGGAAGGGACCTGAACAAGCCAAACATGTATTTCTCCCAGAGAAATTCTGAAGTATATCCCTTCCTCTTTTTAAATTTTTAAAAAAGAGTGGCTGAACTGAACCATAGAATTCTATCAAGTTTCTATAGCCACACAAAAATGCTGCTTGATTAACAATGAATCACACAGTGCACTGAATACATCAACCCATACTATTTTTGAAGAAAGACTCATTTCCAACTTTGTTCAGTTGAGACACTTACACAGTTTCTTGTTGAATCACATCCATGCACACGATGAGTGCATCCAGGACTCAGCTAGTTAAGGGCAGAAGATATCACCAAACATTCCCTTTATCCCAAGAACATGCAACTTTTTTTCTGAAAAAGTCCACAGTGCTGGTAATTGTGGATATTGTGCTCAGTGTGTGATTAGTTTATTTCACTAACATATATATATATATGCATGTATGCTATATCTCAAAGTGTACATCCTGAAACATATAACCAGGAAAAGTAAAATAAACCAAAAGGTAATCTAACATATGTCATTCATTTAAACAAAAGTTATAATGCCATTTTACAGTAACTAAAACCTATTTTTGTGATCATGGTACATTCTTAAATATGAAGTGAGCCATAATATGGCATTTGTAAGTTACTCTTAGTGATCAGGGATGGCACTACTAACTATTTAGAAAAATAAGTGGAACCCCTTAAAATGAGGGCACCTGTGGAAGAAAGTGAAAATCTCACAGTTTGGATATCGGTCTGATTTTTGGCACAAAAATATCCTCCATCCAAGAAAGCATGGACAGTGCTAATGCTATACTCTTCTAGAAATATCTTCTCTATGTCCAAACATTTCTAACCATCACCACCACCAAACGCCTTGCATACTGTTGATACACACATATCTCTTCTCCAACCCCCGGTATCTTCCCCTTCCAATGCCTCCCAGACTCTCAATATCACTAGTGCAAAGAAGAGGCAAGATTCAAGAAGGTCTGAAATCCAGGCACACAATCCAACCTGATTAAATTCTTAACATATCACCTGCATGACCAAAGAGTCAAAAATGGCCATATCGTCAGAGCTGGGACTTGGAGAACCTCACCCAAATTTCCCAGACAAAAGGAAATTTCTTAAGAGTATTCTCAGGATGAAAGAGGATACAGTCAGCTTGCTGAGAACCTGTTTGGATTTTGCTTTCAATGTCTTCCAGCAAGTCAAAATCTGGTAGCATCAGGTGTCTGTGCACTGTGATGTTTTGATACTGATCCTTACAAGCGAGGGCATTCTCAGTGCCATCTGTGCCAAAAAGGACTAATGCAATTTCATCCTTGCTCTCTGCAAACACCTAGAAAAGAATGTTAGAAGGTTGAAAACCATATAGTACCAGCTGGAAGCCATTAGATACCTAACCTTCAGGGAGTGAGACAACAGGTCTCTGGAGCTACTGTCAACAACAGAAGGTTAGGCTAGATAGCTCATGGGACAATGACAATTCCTAGGTTCTAAGCAAATGTTTGTATTGACTATAGGTCCTATCCTTCATTTCAGCACAATTTAGGATAAGGGAATGGGAGGGTGGTAACTATTCTTGAAGAATTCTAGCCAAATCAGACTCTAATTCTCAATGAAAACTAAGTATGGGTAATTTCAAAAAGTTTTAGTCTGTCTTTCTGGAACGATTACCAAGGTTTAAATTTTCCAGAGATTAAAAAAAGAATTGCCAGTTTATATCCTATGGCACAACAATTTCACTTACAGGTACATATACCATAGAGAAATTCTTGCCCATGTACACAGAGAGACAATGAAAAAGAAAGTGCACCTCAGCACTGTTTATAGAAGGGCAAAACTGGGGTGGAGGTTGCGGGGAGCTATCCATCAACAGGAGAACACAAAAAAGCACTGCAGAATATTTCTACAATGGAATATTACCATCAAGTAAAAAATGAATAAATTTGTGCAATGTTTATCAACAGGAATAAATCTCAAAAACATAAGGTTGAGAAAAAATAAGCTGCAAAATTACATTTATCATATGATAATATTACATACACCTTTGAGAGCATCATACAATGCTAAATATCATATATGTTCAAAAATATAAAATAAACATGGTAATAACTATGCAAATTGTGAGGAAAGGAGGGAAAAGTGGGGAAACAGGAAGACTAGCAAGGGATACGCAAGGGGCTTCACGTTTATAATTTTTTTTTAAGAAAAAAAGAAATCAAAGATGGCAAAATTTTATAATTATATATCACTAGATGATGGGAAAATAGCTTTCCATTAGATAATTCTCTGCATTTGCCTCTTTTATGAAACATTTCATAATCAAACTATATAGTATCTGACACAACAGGCAGTGTTGTTCCCACCTACTTATTAAGCTTTTTACATCAATGGGGAGAATGCCGCATGGGAGAGGATGGAATTCTGTCATTCCTCATTTTTGTTTGGTCTGTTAAATTCCCCAGTCTCTTAACAACTCCAGCTACAATCCCTAGTTGTACACGGAGAAGTTCAAACATGTCCAGCATACCAGTGGGGCAGGCCAGCTGGAATCCTAGCATACCAGTGGGGCAGGCCAGCTGGAATCCTATCTGTCTCCTAAATAAGAATCCATCTTAAGGCAAGGTCATCTCGCTCAACGACAAAACCTCAGTCAGAAGAGGGAAGGAAATTTTGAGTGCCGCATGAGACTGGCACCAGGTTTAGTCTCCCAATTTTCAGGATTCACTCAGACTCCCATGGAAGGGTCAGAGCCGAAAAGAAAAACTGAAAGCACCGTTTCACTCTCAAAAAAAAAAAAAAAAATTCTATACCACACTGGAGCACAGCAGCACTACTTGAATACAACCAACACAAATAATGTAACCAAGAATGGGATAAGAGGCGTTCTCTTCTTTAATACATTAGGGACTCCAGGTCATCAGAATTTGTTAAAATCTGGGATGACAGATGGGAGGTAGTAGTGCCCAGTGGGAAGGGCAACACCCAGAAGAAACAGCAGAGGTGTCCAGGAGTTGACGCAGTACCCAGGGAATGAAGCAGAACTTCATGGACTTAGCAGTCATACCAGGTAGAAGGGGCAGAAAACAAGAGAAGAGTCTAATTCATCCCCTCTCCCCTCTGAATGTGAGCTGGCCTTAGTGACTTGCTTGACTAATAGAAAGCATCAGAAATGACTTTCTGGGATTTCTAAAGCTACGTTATAAAAAGCCAAATGGCAGGTCTCTTAGAATACCCACTCCTGGGACATTCCTTCTTACAACCAGCTACTGCACTGTGAGACTCTCATGCTACATGGAGAAACCACATGCAAGGGTTCTGATGGACAGCCCCAACTGAGTGCATAGCCACCACAAGGCATAACTAGCAGCCATGGGAATGAGCTGTCTTGGATATCTGGCCCAGTATGGCTTTTGGATGACTGAGCCCTAGTGACCATCTGAGTGAACATGCACAAGAGGCCTCGAGAAAAATCACATAACTGAGCCACCCCGTCATCCCACAGAACAGTGAGAAATGCTTTTTTAAAAAATGTCTTCTAAGACATTAAGTTTTGGGATAGGATATTACCAACAAAAGGTAACTGGAATAGGCACAATGCAGTTCAAAGACTTGTTCAAGATCACAAGATTAGCAAATGACTTGGCAGAGCAAGTGTTCAAACCAAGGCCATCTGGCCCTAAAGATTATACTTTTAAACATGACTTACAATGCCTCGTGTTTCTGGTAAAAACTGTAAAATTCAGTGGAGCGGCCAAAAACAAAAGAGAAAAAAAAATATCAGGCTCTAATGGTCGTTGGACATGCATGGAAATGTATGTAAGAAAACTCCTCAGCTTCCTCAAAACACTGAGGCTGGACACTGTTAGTAGGCTGATATCTTGCATTATTAAGTGGAGGCAACAAGCAGTTAGAACGAGTTACAAGCTCACCTGTCGCTGCACAAACATGGTTATCACCTTCTTTGTTAGTTCAAATGGGGATTCTTCACCAGGAAAGGAGTTGTTCATGGTAAAGCCCACATCCATACACAGCACAACAGCTGCCTGGAAACAAAGTACCAAAGAGTATTTAAGAAATGTTCATGATAGAAATTTAAAAAAAAAAGAAAGAGATATGTCCTTTGCTTATTTCACCTTAAGAACCTGCACTGATATTTAAGGGATGCACGATAAAGGGAGGGAAAGTAAGACTCATAAATTTTCACTATGGAGAAAGTTTAATTAGCCCTAATATTTTCTAAAAGCTAGAAAGTGTCTGCCAAGACAGGAGCATGCTCCAGGTAGTCGCTGCTCTTTTGGTCTGATCTGAAAACAACCTGCAAGCTAGAGCTAACTACAGCCCAGTTGAGCCCAAAATACATCACATAACTGCAGTTGATCTGCAGACCCACAAGCATGAGAATAGATGCTTTCATTGTAAGCCAGTGATTTGGGATGTAGTTTGTTATAAAGTGTTTTGTGGCAATAGGTGACTACTACAATCTATATATGCTAAAATGATATACCCCAAACAATTTGAATCAGTTTATAAACTGAGAATCTAAAATGAAGACTAAGACACTAAAGCCATTCCAGTAGGGGACAAAGGCATAAAAACAAGTAATACCAGTGCAATGTTCCATGACAAAGGTATGCAGTGGGCACTAAGAGCACACAGGAAAGGCATCTACCCAAGACCAGTGGAAGGGATAGAAGAAGGAAAAGGAAGCAGAAAAGGCTGTCAGGATATGAAACTTGGGAGTCTTAAAGAACAAGTAGGAGTCATGTGAGCAAGGGGAATTATAGATTGAGGGAACCACATAAAGACACCTAGTCATTAGAGAGCAATTAATTATATAAGGACTAAGAAAATAGGGGAAACATAAACTAAAAGGATACATGTGAAAGTCTGTGTTTGGCATCCAATATTTAACTGAGTATGAGCTCGAAGAGTCCTGAACAAATAGTGACTAATAATTTCAAGTGGATTATGAGTCACCAGTATGACACGGCTACAGCACTACATTCCCCACACCTATCTCATTCTAGCCTCCAAAATATTTTAGGCTGTATCAACAGTTTATTGAATTCAAATAAGGAAAAGATCATTCTTATGGTGAAAAAAAGACTAGACTAGCAATCTGGCGACTTGAAATCCAGTCCCATCTTTATTACCAATTAGCTCTGAGTCCTTGGGAATGTCACTTAGCCTTTCTGCTATTTCATAGAAAGCAGCAGTCAGAGGCCTAAGGTCTTTGAATCAGATATCCAAAAAATGGCATCGAAGGGTTTTATAATATAGAACTTGTACAGAAGATAAACAGTCTATGTAACATTTCAAGTTCCTTTCTGGCAGGAGTAAGAAAAACAAGAAAGAGAAACTGGGCAGTATAGCAACTCGGTTTTTATACACCAAAGCAATAAAGGTTGTTAGAATTTTGTTGCAAGTCTACCTGCCATAAACAGTTGCTCCACCAGAGCTGAGAGGTACAAGGGAGTTGAATGGCTACATATGTTCATAACCGTTTTAAATCAACATTTCCCAAGGGGGTATTGAAGGGGCTAGAGATCAGTTGCTCAAACTCCTATCTTGTTTATCTGTATATCAGATACCTAGTTAAGGAACTTGCCTTTGGATGGATGGAAGGACAACTCCCTGGAACACACCTCCCTCTAGTGACCTTTCTAGACAACTACCACTCTCCATTTATATTGAAGAAATTTTAAAAATTCATTGTAATATGTTATTAATCTGGGACACCAAGGGTCATAGATTCCTAGGAACGCAGAAATTCTCCAGGTCTCCAGAACCAGTCTGGGTTCAAATCTGAGTTTCACCATTTATGGACTGGATGCCCTGGGCTAAGCACATTTTTTATGCCTCGGTTTTCTCACCTATAAACTGAAGATAATAGTTTTCACTTAATGGGCTCCTTGTGAAGATTAAATGATATAGGAATAAAGCGTTTAGATCAGTGCCTCACACAGAGTATACTTTCAATAATGCGAAATATTAGATTATGGAAATAATATGAAGTTTTCTTTACATTTCAAGTTATTTTTTATTCACAGTCCCTCTTTGAAGTTTCACAATTCTGTGGGATAGGTGTTTACCACGGCTAACTTTCATTCTCGTATAATTTTTTAAAACGCTCGCTTAGAAGCAATGGAAGGAGGTGGGGCTAGGGGGTGGGCTGGGATCGAAGGGTAGAGAGGGGAGGCCGATTTAGGAGAGAGGTGGGATGAGGAAGGCCTGGAGAGGAAGTGAGAGGATTGGAGGGCTGAGAAGACGAAAGGGGTGGGGAGCTCAAAAGGCGAGGCTCAAATTAAGGTGTGAGGGCTGCAAATCCCCAGCTTTTTTCACAGCGCATCCCTGGGTCTCGGCCCTACTGATCCAGCCCGTGGCCCACCATGATCTTTTTTTCCTCACTTTTTGGCACCGCCGTGATCCCATGATTCCTGTTCTGAACCACCCTCTCCATCCCCAGCGCGGGCAAGGTGCAAGCTCATGGCTCTACCTTATTCCCCGACCGCGCCATGTTGCCGGTCCGTAAGCGGCCTGGTCGCCTCTTCCGGGCGGGAACCTGGCGCGCCGCAACTCAGTTCCGGAGGACTTGGAGCGGGAGCTTGAGAGGAAGATCGGCTTCTCGGGGAACCTGAATGGGGCGGGGAAACCGTGCGCCGACTCTCTGAGCATGCGCAGATTTCCTGCGCGAATGCCTGGTGCGGAGGTGGTAGTGGTCTTTGTGCTGCCCAAGTCTCTAGAGCTAGATAAATGCAAATCACTCCTCCAAAAGATCCACTTCCGTTTTTTTCTCATTGAATATAACACCTAGAGCATTTTGTGTCAGAGCTCTGGCGTTAGATATTCTTGAATATGAGTATGAATCCAGTAAGTCAGTTAACTTGTCTGTCTTCTAAAAAGGGTGATAATGAAAGACTTCATAGATGTGATGACTTTGGAACCAACTCCTGAAGGAAGAGTATTTTACAGGCAATCAAAAGTAGGAAGGACATTCTTTTGCCAAGGAAATGGAATCTGCAGAGGCTTCGAGCCATGAAATAGCATTTGCTAAGGCTCTCCCAATAGTTTGGGGTGTCGCTAGTGTTAAGAGTGGAAAATTTTCAAGTTAAGAGTGGAAAATTTTCAAGCCAACTAGCTAAGTCAGCTACAGGGAAGAAATATCTTTAGATACCAGAAGTTGTCCTACTTGCTTGGGTGTAGGTTAGGAAGCGTATAAGATATGAAGATGGCCAATGTCTGCTTCTGTAACCCACTTACATGTTAATTAAGGGTGTGATTCTGGGCAAAGATATGCTAACAGCCAACTTCTGCTTCTGTAATCTGCTTCCTTGTTCAGAAGACCACCAGGATATGGTCTTAAGCTTTATAAGCTGCCTCCTCTGAAAGCTCAGGGCTGATCTCTAGCCCTGCGTGGTAGAGAGTCGCCGGCTGGCTAATAAAGGCTCATAATTAATCTCAATTGGCTCTGTGGGTCTCAGAATCGTTCGCGCCATAACATTACCACCCCCTTTCAATGAAAACCGTACAGCCTGCAGTCTCTGCCCCTTTGAGGGAGGCATGACTAAGCCGAACCTTGCAGAGAAACAACTATTTTCTATACCAAATGGCCCACAAGCTGACGGGTGAATGGACAAAGTCTCCAACAACTTACAAAGTATCTCCAAACCTCTGCCCAGACTGGGAAATCAAATCCAACCAAATTCTCTCTTTCTTAAAATTGAACCTGGGAAAAGCTGACACAAAGCCGAAAAGATGTGGAGAGGCCATGAAGAGGCAGGGGTCTTGAGGGAGACAAAGTTAAAAATGCGCTAAAGCCAGAAGAGACAGACATTTTCAGACTGCTCTTGAAGGCCAGAAGTTCTTCAAGCTTTTGATTTAAACTCGAGTTATTTTAAAACAAATATTATGTTTAAAAATTTTTATATGACGCATAAATAGAATTACTGGTAACTCACCAGGGTGAAAGAAATTTGCATGCTTTATGTCCATATTTTATCTTCTATGTAGTTTCTCCTTTTTTTTTCTCTTCCTCTCTTTTTTCTCTCCCTCTCCTTTTCCTTTTCCCTCTGGCTTTCTCACACACACACACACACCCTCCAGTACAGGTTTGCTTCCTGGAAGAAATAAAAGATTCTAGTACTTGTGTTTGTTTGCATCTTAGCCATCCCTAGAGTAGATGATCTTTAGAATCATCCACTTTCAGGCAGCTAGACAGTCGTGGTGTTAAGAATCAATATAGACTTTAAGCACTGCTTCCGCTGGCAAAAGGCCTCCATCAAAAAGAGGCAAATATTATTAATATGACAGTGTATGTGGCTACTCCCTTCTTCCTCCACAGCAGAAGGATTCTGGCTTTGTTGGTTTCATTTCTCCCTGTCAGTTCAGGATCTGTTTGGATTTGTATGATACAGAATCGGATGGAAAGAAGGAAAATAAGAGATTGATGGGCTATGGCTAGTAGAAGAAAATGGGCATTTGGGGATAGAGAGAGATGTGTGGGAGCCACAGTCCCATATGAAGGAAATGGATGGGATGAGAAAAGGAGAATGACAATGTTATTTGGGTGCCCCACCCCATGAGCCATGCCTCACAGTTTAGTTACATTTTTCTTCCTCTAATCTAGGCTTTTACATACCTCTATTAGAGCTCTTTTGAAATGATTTTACTTTACAAGCTTATTTTTTCCACTATGTTACAACCCCGACTAGGGTGAGTGCCGTGTCAACTTCATCCAGATGTACCTTGGACCTCACCCTCCCCCATTCTGCTATGGCCCCCTTACTCTTGTCCTAATTTTGACTATTTTTAGCCTTGGCCATTGATTTACCTAATTCCAGAAAAATGTGATAAAAGTGGTTGCAACTTCCTAAGGCTTAAGTAAATGTGTGACTATGGAAACAGTTCACCTAAATGGAATCTCCACAAATTAGTGGCACATAGAAGGAGTCGATACATAAGGATTAAGATCATTATATGTAGATGAGACAGCCACCATCGTCACCCTTTTCTTGCAAAGTGTAGCATTCAAAGCAGTTTGGGAAAAATTCAAAGACAAAATGAGCAAATATTGATTAGAATTTATTTTTATTTGCTTGTTTTCATTTCAATGTTTATATTTCTGCAAAAGCACCAGAAAGCACCAAGGTTATCTTCAAAAATGCTGGGCAGAGGTTTTTTTTTTTTTTTTTTTTTTTTAGCACCTGGCGGGTTATTTGAATTTCTTGTGAAGATGGAGTTCAGCACCATATATGAGGCAGATGTCCCTGGCCTTCAATGGGAGAGCATACCCACCGGTGTGGTTTGATTCACCAACTTCTTCCTGACATAAGAATAAGAAATGAGATATTCTTGTAAGGACCAAAACCTCCCAAATCTGCTTTACCTGTTAAGATTCCTATTTTTTTTTTTTAATTAGGAAAAAAAAAATTATTCATTCTAGGAAAAAAATTATGCTAATGTTATATAGTACTATTATATAGTTGTACTTATTATATAATTGTACTCAACTGTTTACTTTCCCTTTCTAAAAAACCCTGAAACCACATGACACTATAGATATTTAATTGCAAAGTGTATGAGTTACTAATATCTATGTATAGCATATACATAGTATATATAGCTAGTATCCACATATAAAATCTCTGTGTAAGATTCAGGCCTAAATAAATAAATAAATAAATAAATAAATAAATAAATAATATATCCACCGTTTGAGATCTGAATATATTTAAATAATTACTGGAATTCTTACTTGCCTATCAAAATAGCCATTCTTTCCTTTTTTCTTAAATTAGCATAACCCCAACATTTAACCTGGTATATAACTGTGTAGTCAAAAGACTACATTTCCCAGCCTCTTTTGCTTGTGAGGTCATGTGACTAAAAGTTGGCCAATGAGATATAAGAAGTGTTGAGACTTCTGGGAAGTCTCCTTGAACAGAGAGAATGTGCTCTTCTGTGCCCTCCTCTATTCTGCCGGAAACATGGATGTGGCTGCTGCAGATGTAGACAGCACTGGGGTGTTAAAGATAAGGGCGATGAGGATCACATCTCACTAATGGTAGGAGAATAAAAGAAGCCTGCATCCCAATGGTCTGCCTGATGGTCTGCCTCCAGACTTCTTCTATATAAGAAAGAAATAAACTTCTATTTTGGGATATTAATTATATGCAGTTAAATAAAACCCTAAGTGACACACACAAATCTTTACATTCTGCTATACTGTACTTCCTAAATGTTTAACTCCATCCCTATCTATTATTTTATTGGTGGACTTGGTTCCCCCCAGAGCGTCCTTATTCTCCGTCACATTTAGTCATATACTCCCTTGGGTTCCAGGCTCCAGTAGCACCTTCGAGCTCCTAAACTGACAAACAACTGAGGTTCCTATCCCAGATAGCCATTTTAGGGCAGGAAATGAAGAAGAGTTTGTCTATTGTATAGGCTACTTTCCCATAAATTGCTTTTCTGTTCCCTGCCCTCCTGGAACCAACAAGATGGTAGGGCAGATCAGCGTGGGCTAGAATATTCTAGGACTGTGAGGGGGAGGGAATAATCAAAAGAAAGAATCTTCTGGAATTGAGTGCTATCCAGGCTACTGGGACCAGAGAAGAAAGTAAGGTGTTGGGAGTTTAGACAGTAGAAGTTTCTACTTCCAGGATGGGATCCTTGTTGGAGAGATTGCCTGAGATATTGTCAGATTCAAGCAATTCCACAATGCTGTAAGGAGAACAGTCCTCCAGACCTAGCTTGCTGCAGAGCCAACCACAGAAACCTTTTTCCATGTCCTGGGCAGCTTGCCACCATGCTCCCCAGGACCATGAGAGCTGAACCACAGCAGCATAGAGGCCCAGGGAAGAGGCCATGGCCATGATGAGCACTGGATAGAAGAGAATGAGGCAGGGGCAACATGAGATCTTGTGCCAGAAGGTCCTTTCCTCATTATACACAAGGAAGATGTTGTACCAGGTGATAGTGCCATAGTAGAAAGAGACAACAAAAGAGAGGACAAAAACCACGGGCAGGCAGATCAGCGTCCAGAGGACCACATGGGGTCCGCGGTCTGCTGCCATCTGGCAGGCCTTTCTGCCTTCAGGTGTTGTTTCCTTCAATAATTCTTTAGGCTTGGTCAATTCCTGTAGCTCCTTTTCTGTCAACGTGACATGGATGTCCACCATCTGACCCTTTTTCTTCCCTCGTGTGATGGTCCCAGTCAGTGTGACATAGCGGCTATCCAAAGGCATGTTCCACATACCTGCAGAGCATAAAGAAGGTGAAGATCAGAAGATCACTCATTTCATCACAGTGCTGTCTCCTGAGGCTGGAGCTGACAATAAGAGTGTCTACTTTTACAGTATCTGAAACGGTAGTAGAGTCAGTGATTCGCTGATGGGCTGAATGTGTCTCCCTCAGGAGGGTGACCACTGGCATTACTATTCCCATAGTGAACCCTCAGTCTACACTGATAAAATGGTGAAGCAGGTTAAAGCTGTTTTTCATGTTCTCTCCACTTTTCTGGGTCTCAATCTTATCAGGGTCTCTGTGATATGAAGGGTGTGAAGAACTGTACTACAGACACCACTTTACAGTGATCTTATTTCTAGTTTACGAGTGCTGTAAAATGTTGCTTATGAGTATCAACTACTGTGTATGAAGTTTGTACTATATGTGTATTATACAGATGGGCAGCCCGGCCCCCTTCCTTTCTTTTTCCTATCCCTACGATTCCCTGAGAGCGGGCCTCCTCACATGCCTGTGGATGTCCCAGCCCTTGTATCCTAGCTTTGTGCACACACGCGTGTGCACGCACACACCACCACCATCACCACCACCACTAACCACCAAAAAGCCATCCTTTGGCCACCCTGCAGATACTAACACAGGGAAGTCTGGGGCCCTTGGCATGTGAAATGTAGTCTAGAAGTGGAGGGAGTGGGGAGAGTACAGGCTTTATGTTGGCATATCCTCTATGCCCTGGTGGACTCCTTGCCCCATGGCTGAAAGAGGAATAGAACAGAGCCACCTATAGAGCAGCACCCAGGATAGTGGCAGGGACTCTGACTACTCAGAAAGGCTTTACTGTTCCCCCAGAATCTATGGGTTTCACAGTCTCCCTCATCTCAGTAAATGACACCACCATCTATCCTCTTTGTTGTTCAGTCACTCTTGACTTTTCTCTTTCCTCACTCCCTACCTCCAATCCATCGTCAAGTTCCAGACTGCAGTCTAAATCCAGCCTCTCTTCTCTAGCTATCTCTCCTGCTGTCACCCTCATCCAAGCTTCTACATTAGCGCTATTGTGGCTGCATCGAGACAACGGCCTCTCATCAGCTTTGACTCTTTCCTGTCCAAATCCACTCTTTTAGAAAGGCCAGAGTGACTATTTAAAGATATAAATGAGATGTCTCTCCTTTGCTTAAAAGTCTTCCATTGCCTTCCCTTTGCACTGATCACAAATCCCAAACTCTTTACTATGACAGGCAAGGCCCAACATGACCTGCCTACCTTTCTGATCTCCTCTCATCATCCCTGATTCTTTCCACTCCCAAACAGAAATAACTCCATTCCAGAAACGGGCAATGATGCTCCCACCTTAGGGTCTTTGCCTTTGCTGCTCTCCTTCATCTAAAAGCTCTGTCCAACATCTTCTCATGGCTGGCTCCTTCATATCAATTGGATCAGCTCAAATGTCACTTCTTCAGAGAAGCTTTGCACACTGTGCATTCTCTCCACTAACACCCTCCACCAGTTACTCATCTTCCCATCATTGTGGTTTATTGTCTTGGGAACTCGAATCACTACCTGAAGTTATCTTTTATCTGCTGACTTGTTCACTGTCTGTCTTCTCCTGACCAGAAGGTCAACTACACGAGAACAAGGATGTTGCTTGCTCACTGTGGGCATATGTCTCAGAGGTCAATCCATCTACATAAATAGATCTATCTCATCCATCTCTTGCTGCACAGTGATGCTTATCATGAACACTCCACAGCTTCATTAGCAGCAACAAACATTCTTATGCATGCCTCCTTATGCACATGCACATAAGTTTTATAGAGTAGATACCAAGAATTTCCAGGACACAGGGGTATACATCCACTTCCTCACATTGATGTTTTATTTTACCCAGTTTTTGGCCATCCTAAATGTAAAAGAAGCCTATAACTCACTGTTGTTATAATTTGCATTTTCCTGATCTTATGAAAGTCAACTATTATTGTTTCTTTATCTTACATGTATTAAATGACTAGCACTGAATTCTTGTATTACTAATTTTTATGTATAAATAGGTCTCTTCCATTACACTAGGAGTTCCAAAAGAGTGGAGATCTTCATATCAGCCAGAAGAGAACATAATAAATGCTCAGTAAATTCTGTCAATTCGTTGAATGAAGACTGCAACGTTGTGAGAAGAAATTTATCAACAAGAAGAAATAGGTCAGTGAGCAAATGTCTGTCTGATGGCTTTAAGCAAGTGACCCCAGAGAGGCTTACCATCATCAGCAGGATAGTCTAGGAAATCGTCTCCTTCTTCCTCTTTGGGCTGTTCTCCACCCTCTGATTCCCCAAGCTCATCATCCACTTTCTCACTCTCTGACCGATAGATGATGATAGATTCTGGACGGGAATCCTTCTTCCTCTTTTTCCTACGACCCATTGTGGATTCCCCATCTAGGGCCAGGGCAGCAGCCACAGCCTTCCTCAGAGAGCCCTGGTGGGGGCTTGGGAGCTGGCCCTGGCCTTCCACTGGTGCTGGCTCTTCCATCCTAGTCTTCACATCTAGTTATTTTTTGTGAAGAATCTGATTTGCTTGAGCAAATTTATAATCCACACATCACAGAGCTCCTTCCTGGATGAGGCTATGCAAAGATGTCTCAACGATGAGTTCAACTTGAAAGATAGGAAAACAAAGGCATTAACAAGGAGGGAATAGGGTGATACGGAAAGGGGTTAGGGAAATGATCCTCCACTTGGCAGAAACCTTCTCCTCCCTTTATTTCTCATAACACTTTATTTTGGAGTGCCGTGGAAATACTTTATGAGAATGTGTTGTTGTGAATAAAATTTTAATGTGTATTGCAATAATATTTTTGTCATATACACGAACATATAATACTACACAAACTCCATTGCTCTAGCTGGGGCATAAGCCAAGTATAAGGAAATTGGGCGAGGAAGGCTTACAGACAAATGGGGGTTAAGAACCAGTTTTACTCCTACCATAGATGAAGATCCACATTGCTGACCAGTAATCCAGGCTTCTGACCATCGAGTCATGCATTACAACTGTGCTCGAATGGATAGATGCAACTTTCAATGAGCCACCCAAAGATGGCGTAACTTTGCCCAACACGTCTACCCTAGTATTCTATAAAGGACACCTGTCTCCTGGCTTCAAGTTGGTCAAGATCCCAGAAAGTTCCTGAGATCTGTCCTATCACATGCTGGGAGACCAGTGGAGAAGATGCATACTTTTCACTCTTAATACTCCTTTTCTTCTTTTTGTTCTCCAAGCAAGGAGAGGTGAGTAGAGAGGAGAGGATTATAACATTTTAAAAATTAGAAATTCTTCTACACTTCCTCATCTTCAGTGGGAAGATCTGCACATGTAGCAGATACTTAATGGGTATTTGTTGACCTGATAGGACAGAGAAAGGAAAATGCCTAGTCAAAAATAAGATAGGAACACCTGTTAAGAGAGGGAGGCTTAATTATTTTCCCATTTTTGTACACTTTATTATGCTGTTAGTATTTTGTCTGAGAAACAGGTTCTGAACAATTCTCTTTCCTTTTAGGTTCCATAAGAGAGGGTAAAAAGAATTTCCTCAGTCTCCGAGAATTTAATCTTTAGAATTAAGTGAAGAGACAGACTTTGCTCTTTTCTCTGGAAGTCAGGCTTCACCCTGACTTTCACCCTCCACCTCCATCCCCAGTCCAGTGATCGTCAATGTATGTGATGCTGCCCAACGTAACCTCAATAAGCCATTATGATTCTCCATTTTTACCACTCTGGTCTAAAAGACCATCATCTCTTATCTATGGTCCTAAAAAATGCTCCTTATCCTCTGGCTTCTACTCTTGGTCTTACAATCAATTCCACTCAGCAGTTAGAAAGATATCTTGAAAACATTAATAAAATCATGCCATTTTCTGCTTAAAACACTCCAGGAACTTCCCACACTTATAAAATGAAATCCAAACTCAGGTGGCCTAAACACCTGCATGATCTGGCCCCTCCCCATCCTGTCATCCTATGCTGTGCCACCTTTCTCATATATACCACCTATGCTCCAATCACACTGGTGGCTTATGTATTCCTCAAAAGCACCAGGCGCTTTCCCACTTGAGGCCTTCTTAAATGCTATCTGCCTTGGCTGGTATGCTGCTCTGCTCCCACCCCTTCACATGCCCATAGCCTTTGTATCCCCCATGTCTCAGTTCAAATGTCACCTTCTCCAAGGCTTTCCTGACACCAAACCTAAAACAGGCTCCCTGTCTTACCTTTCATTATTCTTTATAACAGCCTATTCCTTGAATAAGACTTATCAACATTTGTAATTAAGTTTTATTTGTTATTTTATCTGTGTATCGTCTATCACCTTTACTGGACTATAAGTTCTACAAAGCGGTACCGTACGAGTAGGCCAACAAGTAATAAGTGTTCAATAAATGTTTTTAAGTGACTGTATTAATGATTTAGAGGGAGGAGGTGAAGTGGTAGCAATTAAGGATTAGCCTAACTTTGTCAGAGACTGAGACTGAAGAAAAGTTTAATAAAGAGAGACATTAATATGCTCCTTTATGTTTAATAAGCTCGGTTATGACACAATTGCTAGGTGCTCTTCCTATATCTATTTTCTTCTTTAATCATGGAGGCTTTTAGCTGGTTACATGACTTCCCGGGTAAAGATAACGTTTCTCAGCACCTCTTGCAGCTAAGTGTGATCATATGACTAGTCTTTGGCCAATAGGATGTGAGTAGATATGATGTGTGCAACTTCCACATCTGCACCTCTCTTTACCTTCTTGAGGGCTGAAGTGTAAACCTGATGAACCATCCTCAGCCATGCAGACAAGGGCAAACCCATAGGGATGGCAGAGGAATGAGAAAGAAGAAATAAGAGCCACTCTAACAGTCATAAACCCTCTTCCTCTGGACTGCAATATGAGGAAAAAATAAATATCAATTTTATTTTAATCCAGGGTTATTTTGGTCTCTTAAAACTGCCATATAGAAATCTTACTCAATACACTGGGATTATCCAAGGTTATTTTACGTCCCAACCCTTCTGCTGTGTTTTCAATTCATTGGCCCAGGGGCATAAGCAGATCTTGATAAGTATTTCAGAGTGAGAGCATAAATTAGCATCTTCCCTGATAATAGGTGGTTCAAGCAGTTTTGATTTTCCTTGGTGAGCCAGGAATTCTGAAACTCAGCTGTCCAGTACGAAGGATATAATACTGATGCTGGCTCAAGCCCCACCAGAAACCCACTGGAAAGTTTAATACTCTAAATGATACTGTTAAGGACTGAATATTTGTCCAAAATTCATATATTGAAATCTTAATCCCTAATGTGATGGTATTAGGTGGTGGAATCTTTAGGATTAGGTTATGAGGGTGCAGCACTCACAAATGAGATTAGTGCCCTTATTAAAAAAAAAAACCCAGAGAGCTCTCTTTCTCTGTCCTGTGAAGTCACAGCAAGAAGCCAACCATCTATGAACCTGGAAGATGTCTATTAACCAGGCTTTCACCAGACACTGGATCTGCCTGCACCTTGATCTCGGACTTCCCACCCTGCAGACCATGAGGAAAAAAAAATGTTTATGAAAGCTACCTAGTAAATGGTATTTTTGTTATAGCAGCCTAAACAGACAAAGACAGAGACTATTCTCTGCTTATAATGAGATGGCTTCCCGTGTACTAAAAGGGAGTTTCATTAAAAACAAACAAACAGAAACACACACACACACACACACACACACACACACACACACACACACACAGAGCTCTTAGGCATTCAGTAAAAACCCAGAGACTCACAACACTACAAAATGAGTATACCAGCCCAGATACAGTGCCCTTGTAGGGCTGAGTCATTAGCAGAAAGTCTAGTCACTACTCCCTGCTGACCAGTTCCTATCCAATCAGTCACTCAGTCACTAACCCCACCCCTACTCCACAGGGGTGGTTCACTGCTGGTTCACAGACCTCTCACCATCAGCCATGATTTCTGTGGAGTTTGCTCATAATTCTCTGCTCCTACATGGTCCCTGGAGCAGACGTGATCCAGTGCCTTCTCCAAACTCATCCAAATACTCAACAGAACTGTAAACTTGGTGGCTGGAGAAGCCAGGAAGCTTTGAAGCCTCTGCCCTTATGTTCATCGCAGGGACATAAGTAACATACATGGATGAAGTATGGCCGGAAAAAAGCTAATAAGAATCAATGACACTAAGCTTTAGCACCTGGACACAATAAGGAATGGCAGGGGCTATAGTAAATACAGGAGCTCAGATCTTGTCTGAAGTACAAAGTTACTGTTCTCTTCTCTTCCACCCATCAAGGGAGGGTGGAGTATCATCATTTTCAAGTTAATATACCACTACTCCAGTGACCTGCGTCTTGCTCCAGCCCCGCTATTCTTTCGGTTCTTCTCTGATTTGTGTATCTGTCACCCAAAGGGCCACATATCACCTGACTCTCCAAAAAGCATCTTGATTTATCACCATTAGATGTACTAGGTCAAGTCAAAAATAAAATACTTATCATTTTATCATTGAAAGTTACTAATAGCCCCTCTCAGGGAAATAGTCTCACTAATGTAAAAAGGAAGGGGAATTTGGCTCAGACTGATCTAAAGTGACAGGAACGATGAAGAAACAGCAACTTAAAACTCCCAGCCTCCAGTTAGTTGCTGTGAATTGGCCGTGAGCACAGTCAGACTGCAGCCTTCCCTCATAGTCCTGTGAGTAGCATTCCTCTTGTCATTGCCAATCTACCTGGTCCTGAAAGGCTCTCACACTGAGCCAGGTTCATCATCTGTCTACAGAGGAAATAGTTCCTGGCAGTGAGAGTAGCTGGTTACAAGGAGCTTGAGCATTTTCTTATTGTAAGATATGATCTTCACCATCTGATCTTCTGTTTGCTTATTGTCTTACCTCTTAT